CCTGCGCCGGACTCTGGTGAGTACTGGGAACCCCGCGGCTGCTGGGGTTGGCCAGAGAACATCTTGGAACTGGACAGTGCCCGCCACCACGGGAAAATCAGTAACACAGAGTGTGGTGGCAGACATTTTAGTGTTGGGCAGAAACTACAGCTCGGTGACATCACCAGGTCCCCCTGTAGGGAGGGCTGGTGGAAGACATTTTGAAATTTGGCAGAGCCTGATTATGTGCTGGCTTCAGCTCCATACAGAGAACTAGTGGGAGACATCTTGGATTTGGGCAGATCTGCTGTTCTGGTGCTCCTGTCACAGAGAGGTCTGGAAGAGAACAGCTGGGATTTGGGCAGAACCCTGTGCCATAGTGACATTAGTCAGCTGCTTCTGGTACAAAGAGAACTGGCAGGAGCTACTGGGGCTAAACTAAGCCTCTGCTTGGGGTCCAATAAGCGGATACAAAATAGTCACAACTCAGTGACATCCAGAAAGTACAGCCTAATTTATGGATTAACTGGCACAGAGGCTGGACACTAGCCTGTACCGCCCCTGCATCCCAGCCTACCCCAGATAACAGTAAATTGGGGAGGACAGCAAAAACTGAAGTCAGCACGCTTCTGAAAGGCCCTAAGCAATTCAGAGAGGGCCAGAGAACCCCAGGACAGTCTGAAAGAAACCAGAAACATGACAAGAGATAAAAATTAAAAAAAATCTCCAGCTGCCCAACATGAGAAAATAAGCCCAGGAGAAGTAAACACTGAAGAGAACAAGCACAGTAACCATCCATTGCTCGACACAGCATCAGCCGAAATTAAAAAGTACCTACGTGATCTCATAGAGGAATTTAAAGCTGTACTCCTGATCCAAGTGAGGCAAGATACAAAGAGATTAATTAAAGAAATGACAAGCCCCGCCCAAGAGAACACAGATGGAAGAACTGAGGAAATCAGAAAAGAAAGAGAAACTTCTGAAGAAGAATTTAAACATAACTTAGAATACATGAAACAGATCCAAAGAGAATACCAGGAAACTAAAAACTCCATTGAACAGTGGCAAAATGCCTTGACAGAAACTAAAGACAGCCTTCTGAAACTTGAAGAGAGATTTATGATATATGATCGTGAAAGAAAAAGCCTCTTAAAAATAACAAGGAACCAGAAAGAAGCAATTCAAAAACTGGAGGATGACAAAAAGATACATAACTTAAGAATAAAGAATGTGAGTAAGGAAGCAGGAGCAACCAAAAATGAAATACAAAAAATATTCACAGATATATTAAAGCAAAATTTCCCATGTATAGCAAAAAGAAATGATATTCAGATAAAAGAGGCATACAGAACACCAGCTACCTACAACCAAAACAGATCTACACCTAGACATATAATAATCAAGATTCCAGAAATCCACCAAAACAACAGAATATTAAAAGCAGCCAGAGAAAAGATGCAGATTACCTACAGCAGGAAAACTATCAAAATAACAGCAGACTTATCAACACAAACTCTTAAGTCAAGAAGGGAGTGGGGAGAAATATTCCAAGTCCTGAAAGAAAAAAATATGCAACCGAAGTTCATATACCCATCAAAACTCTCTCTCAAAATTAATGAAGAAATAAGATACTTTCAAGACAAGGAGGAACTGTGGGAGTTCGTGGCCACCAATCCAACCCTACAGAGAGCGCTGAAGGACATTACGGAGAAAGAGAGGAAGAGATACCAGGATTCCAGCAACAGTGGCAGAGAGGCCTCAGTGAACGGGGCAGACAATGGAATGAGGGAATAAAGTGGACACATTATAGCAGAAAAGTGGAGTAGCAGACATGAGGCAGAGACGGTAAGCTATAGTCTAGTATAGACAGCTCTGAAACTATATTTAAAAAAAAAAGCAGAGGTCATTGTTAATGGTGTATAACGATTTAAAAGATACAGTAGTCCTATTGCCATATTTAGTTTGAATTTAATTTGTTCTGGTCTGTCCACTCATGTCAGATTTGAGGGCACAGACCTCTTGAACCAAAAATAGCAGGTTATACCATGGTAACTATCCTTACTTTCCTATTAACTTAAACTGAAACCCTGTATTACTTACATTGTCTTCCTATAACTGATCTTAATTGAATCTGAATCATAAGACTATGGGTTGGCCTTGGCTGATTTTATTTGAAACTGGTATGCTTGTTAGTATCAACCCTAAAAATAGAGGCAACTACTCTGAGCATGACAAGATGTAAAGGATATCCATACTGGTATTAATTAGTAATAGCTCTCAAATCCTACAATGCTGTCAAAGTTAAGTTTTTATAAAAATAGGTGATACTATGTTTAACTATAATAAGCCAGTGTTGTGGACAAATCTATTGAAAATAACAAGAGAAAACATAGTAGCTACAGAAGATCATTTATATTGTAGTCTTATATGTCTTATCCATTGCATGTTTTTCTAGGAAATTGTTTTGCTGTCTTGCTATGACTTGGTTTTCCCTATAATACAGAGAGGATAGATATATATGTAGAAATTCACACATGGGTTTTTTTTTTTTAATTATTTACGGGAACAGATTATATAATGCAAGATGTAAGGAACAGATACTCTGAGGAAGAGATGCTGAGAAACCCGAGGCTTATTTTGTAGCATTATAATATAAATTCTAGCAATCTATTGTTCGCTGATTAGAATGACATTGGACTGGTTTCTTGAGTTCAACTTCAGCATATATAGAGATGGGGATAGCTATCACAAAGAGAATGAGAGATGCGATGGTAGTTACTATTGTCTTCCCTAATTTGGAACTTGAGGACCTAAAAAGACTTCATCATCCTGTAATGATTTGATTAGTTCTATAATATGCAATAAGTATATAAAGTGGGTGAAGATAGGGACAACTATTTGTAAGAAACTAGAGACAGTTAGATAATGAAGATCTCCAGTGGACTTGCTTTGAAATCTGTATTTCTTTAAATTGTTTTTTTTTTAAATGTTCTGTTTTGATATGTTTAATCTTACCCTCTTTGAGATGTAAAACAAATGTGTAGGACTGATAATCATATTACTGCGCTTTTGTTTGATCACAGAGCAGAATGGTTTGTAGGGTCACTTTTTGAATGTCATTCTAAATACTTTAATTCTATAACCTGAACAGCTATTTCTAAGATGACAATGTGTAACTTATCAACCAGCAATTTCTTACCGTTTGTTTGTCTGTAATTTTGTATTATTTCTACCCTTTTTTTAATCTCCATGTATTTTTTTTGTTTCCTTTTCTTTAAATTAAAAAAAAAAAGAAACCCAATGCTAATTTTGTAGCATTATGATATAAAATCTAGCAATACTATTATTCACTGATCAGAGTGATATTAATTTAGTCTCTTAAGTTCAATTTCAGCATATGTAAAGATAAGGACAGCTACTACAAAGAGAATGAGAGATGCAATGGTAGTTATTATTGTCTTCCCCAATGTCAGATCTTGAAGACCTAAAAAACCTTCATCATCCTATAATGATTTGTTTACTTCTATAATATGCAGTATGTATTTAACGTGCGTGAAGATGGAGACAACTATTTGGAAGAAACTAGAGATAATTAATAAACAGTGAAGATCTCCAGTGGACTTGCTTTGAAATCTGTATTTCTTTAAATTGTTTTTTTTTTTTAACTGTTTTGTTCTGTTTTGATATATTTAATCTTACCCTCTTTAAGATATAAAACAAGTGTGCAGGACTGATAACCATATTACTAAGTTTTTGTTAAATCACTGAGCAGAACTGTTTGCAGTGTCACTATTTGAATGTCATTTTACATACTTTAATTTTGTAACCTGAACAGCTATTTTTAAGATGACAATATGCAACAGCGATTTCTTACGTTTATTTTTCTGTAATTCTGTATTATTTCTACCCTTTTTTATCTCCATGTATTTTTTTGTTTCTTTCTCTTTAAATTTAAAAAAAAAAAATGAGAGTAGATATTCATGAAATGAGTCTAAAAAAATACACAAAGGCACAATAAATCAAAAAGTTTGTTCTTTAAAAGAATGCAGGAAAGCTCCAGTGGCACAATCGGTTAGTACACGGTACAAAAGAATGGAGGTCAGGGACTTAGCTCAGTGGAACAGCACCTGCCTGGCAAGCTTAAGGTCCTGAGTTTGATTCCCAGGACCAAAAATAAATAAATAAATAATATAAGGATAGAAAGATAACCTGGGGTAAAATAAATGAGACATTTATAAATATTATATTGTCTCTCCAGTATAAAAAATAATAATAAAAACTGAAAGAGTAATAAGATCCAAAATGTATAATAGATATTGTAAAAATGAAAGCCAAAGAAAATGCTCTAAAGGATATAACTGTATGTATGTTTAAGTGTGCAAGATAGATAACCATACTACCAAATTTTTATTAGTTCATCAAACAGAATAGTTTGTAGTATCATTGTTTGTCTGTCCATTTTTTATGCTTTGATTTTGTAACTTGAACAACTACTTCTAAGACGACAATATGTAATTTATCAACTAGTCATTTCTTTTTTTTTTTTTTTGGTCTTTTTCCTTTTTATCGGTACCAGGGATCAAACTCACGACTGCCTACTTGCAAGGCAGGAGCTAATGCCACTGAGCTAAATCCCCAGCCCCCTCAACTAGTGATTTCTTACTTTTTTTTGACTAGTCATCTCTTCCTGTTATTTGTTTTTAAATTCTGTATTATTTCTATATATTTTTCTGTTTTGCTTTTTTCACTGAATAAAACAAAAAAATAGAAGAAAGAAAGAAAGGAAGAAAGAAAAAGAAGAGAAAGGAAAACCTTGGAATAGAAGCAGACAGGAAAGTGGGGAGAGAAGGGGCAGTAAAAAGGATTGCAATCTGATATGTGTATGTACCAACTCCCCCACAATTAATGTATTTACTATGTATTGCAAACAAATATACTGAAAAAAAAGAAGAAGAAGAGGATCAGGTATACTCCTCTTTGAATGCAGTGTGGGGTCCATGTCTTCACATAGGGAAGCTTACCTGATGGAGGTGAGGAGAGGCATCTGGGAGGACACACAGCTGCTGTCAAAGATCCTGCAAAACAGAAATCAAGAATGAAGAAACATGCTCTTTATTATTCCATAAAAATGTTTGGAAACACACACATGTATATAAGAAGACACTCATTGCTTTGTGGAAACCAGATTCTAAACTCAGCGCACATACCTAATAAAACTTATAAGGTATATTATATTATAAAATTCAGCACTTATAATTTAACATGGACATAATTTATTTAAATGTTCTTACCCCAAACTTAAAATGAACATTCTATGGGCAGCTCAGCGGCACAGTGCCTGCCTGGTAAGCATAAGGTTGTGAGTTTGATTCCCAATACCAAAAATAAATAAATATATATATATAAAAGGAACATATCAAAGTAACAGGGCTCTACAACTATATTCAGATACTTAATAATATGGGACATACATAAAAAATGTGGTCTCAAAATCCAAACTTGTCAAGTTCAATGCATGTGCCAAAAGTGATTCCCTAAGAGAGCCATTGGGTGAGGGCTGATGCAGGGGGTGCAGACTAAAACTAAAGAGCACCCAAGCAGAGGTGTCCAGAGGCCCTGCTGAGCACCCTGGCGGGAAGAAAGCACTCATCTCACCACCTCCTCTCCTTCCTTCTGAGACAGCCTTTCAGTGCAGTTTCCAGGCATTAGATTCCAGTGACAGCTTCTTGCCTAATTAAATGACTAGAAAGGAGATACACCTCAGTGACATAAGTGCCTGCCTGCAAGCCCAAGGTCCCGAGTTCAATTCTTGGTATTAAAAAAAAAACAAAAAAGAGCAAATTACTAGAAAGAAAAATTACTAACGGTTACTATAACAAGGCTAAACTTACAGTGTAAACAAACAGAAATGGAACAAACAGGCAGCTCTTGAGAAAAAGGAAACCTTATAGAAGAAAAGATCAGAGAGATGCCATTCCTTCCACAGTGACTGACTTTCTTCATCTCTCAGTGACACAAACTCTGAGCAGCTAATGGGGCACCCAGGACACACCACACACCACATCCTTCCCAAGCAGAAAGGAGGGGGCATTCAGAGCCTGACCTATGTAATTCAACAGGTATATGTGAGTTAATAATAAATGCACTCCAAATTCTCCAAAGGTAAAACTCTCAAATTGAGAAGACTTTGCAAACTTAAAACAAAATTGGAAATTGTAGAAGAAAACAAAATCATTTGCCCTTGTGGCTACATTAACATTCTCTGTCTTGTTCTCCCTTTTTTTCAAGAGAGAGCATCTTGCTGCATTGCCCAAGATGGCCCTGAACTTCTAATCTCAAGCAAACTTCCTACCTCAAATAGCCAGAACTGGCATCTTCACACCTGTTTTTGTTTTTGAGGCAGTCTCACTATGTAGCGCAAGCTAACCTTGAACTCACTATGTAGCCCAGTATGACCCTCCTGCCTCAGCTTCCTAAATGCTGGAGTTACAGATAATGTGTGATCTCACCTGGCTGGGAACTCTTAAAATTGCCATTATTTTCTATTTTTCATTCAAGGGATTTCAAAATCAATTTTTAGTAAGTAACTAAAGAAAATAATCAAAGCTAAAACCTTAGAAACATAACCATTAATCTATACAGAAGCCCAATTTTTGCTCTTTTCTGCTTGCCTGTGATCTAGGGCTCTGTAATTTCAGCACTTGCAGGGTATACCCCACTATCCCCTAAGTAAGAGCTTCTCTTTAACCTACAACTCTCCTTTCCAAGACAAGACATGGATGGATTTCTGGGCTTCTTCAGTGCTGAAAGGCTGACCATTAGCTCCCTAGAGCAGTTACAGACTCTCTACAACCCCAAAACTAGCAAAAAGCCATTAAGTACAGGTCACTGGGCTAACTATGCAGGAGACTGAATCTAGACTCATCTCTCTCACCACATACTAAACTAAAAGCAAAATGGATCAAAGATCCAAATATTAAAAAAGAAACAATCTACTGGAAGATAAAATAGGTAACTCTTGACAATAAAGACATGGACAAGGACTTTCTGAACAGAACCTCAGTTGCACAAGGAATAATACCAAGCATCTACAAATAGGATCATGGCTAGTTACAGTGGAGCGCACCTATAATCACAGCACTCAGGAGGCTGAGGCAGGATGATCACTATAAGTCTGAGGCCAACCTGGGCTACATACTGAATTCAAGGCCTCAACTACATGCAAGACCACCTCCAAAAAAAAAAGGAATTCTACAGATTTCCCTTCTAGGCACCATCCCAAAAGAGTTAAAAACATTATATTATAGGGAGACATGCATATCCATGTTTTAGCAGAGCAATTCACAATAACTATATCTTGGAAGCAGTATACTCATCAACAGAAGAATAGATAAAGAAAAGGTGGCATTCACACACAATGGCATACTGTTCTGTTATGAAGTATAAATTTGAAACATCTGTAGGAAAAATCACTGCATCTTAAAACCATAACACTAAGTGAAATAAATTAGTAACACAAGCTTAAATACTATATGATTTCTCTTATATGAGAAATCCTTAGCACTCAAGAGCAGGAGGATTGTTGCAAGTTGGAGTCCAGTCTGGGCTACCTAGTAACTTCAAGGCCAGGCTGAACCACATAGTGAGACCTTGTCTCAAAAAAAAGAAAAAGGGGGCTGGGGATTTAGCTCAGCGCATAAGCACCTGCCTTGCAAGCAGGCGGTCGTGAGTTCAATCCCCGGTACCGATAGCGAAACCCGAAGCATAAATGAATTGTAAAGTAAAAGACCAAGACTAGGAAAACAGGGAGATAGATCTATTGTAAATGGGAAGGAAATAAAGAAATGAGTGAGGGTTAGGGAATGGGGACATAAAAAGAATTAAGAGGTGCTGCATATTGATAGGATTATTTCCAAAAGATGTAAAGTATAAAACAAAAGAGGCCTTTATTCTGAGAAAGCGGAGAGAGGTAACTGACACCCCACCACCACCACCACCACTGCTGGAATCCCGCGGGCGATCTCTCTGGCGGACACGTGGCATGGTGGGGTATACACGTAGCCTAAGCTTAAGATAGTGCCCTAGAGCCATTAGAGATGCACAGGTATCCCATTGGCACACGTTTGGCGCCAGGGGCAGATTCCTAAGGGTGGGGTGGGGGGAATAGAGTCACAGGTAAATCTCTAGGGGTGGGGAGGTTCAGGTTGAGGCTTTCCTGGCTACAGTGTCCCGTCTGGGCCAAAACCCTTTCATATACATGTACCAACTTCCCATAATGAAGGCAATCTTTACATACTGAAAACATATACTAATAAAAGTAAAAATTTTGATAAACAAAAAATATATATATAATTGTATTTTAGAAGTACAAGTCAAAGCTGTGCAATGGCACATACCTATAATCCCAGCATTCAGGAGACTGAGGCATAAAAATCATCTCAAATTCAAGGCCAGCCTGAGCTACACAGTGAGTCCAAGGACAGTGTGAACTACATAGCAATACCTTGCCTCAAAAAATATATAAATGGGGGCCAGAGGTTTAGCTCAGCGGCACAAGCGCCTGCCTTGCAAGCAGGCAGTCGTGAGTTCGATCCCCAGTACCAATAAAAAGACAATAAATAAATAAATAAATAAACAAAAATTTAAAAAAAGAAAAAAGCCAGGCATGGTGGCACAGGCCTTTAATTCCAGCACTTGGGAGGCTGAGGCAAGAGGGTTGTCGTGAGTTTGAGGCCAACCTGACCCAAATTGCAAGACACTGCCCCAAAAATTTACATATATTTTTGTGTATGTATTTAGGGATTTAGCTCAGTGGCATAAGCACCTGTCTGGCAAGCGTGAGGTCATGAGTTTGATCCCTGATACCAAAAAAAAAAAAGGGAAAAAAAAAAAAAAAAATATATATATATATATACACACACACACACACACACACATACGTACATATATATGTGTATATAGGTCATTAGACCTTGGGAACCTAGAAATGGCTGCAAAGAAATTAACACTAGCAATTAAATAAGAAAAGCAGTAAGCAAAGTTTTTGGTTTACTGACAGTAGCTGCAAACATGTCTGTGTTCTCAGTTTACCTCAGCTTACAATCTGCACATGTGGACACCACTCTGTTACCAGTAACAGGTGAGAAGTAGGCAGAAGCAATGCTTTTCGTGTGTTCAGTAACAGAGACCAAAGGCTGGCTTCTCCTGGAACTCAGGTGCCTGGTGTCATAAACATGGATATCCCTGTGGTAGAGAAATAATGATCAGTGTCACCACAGTGCATGCAGTGAGTTGTAAAACATGGCTGAACACAAGCTAGACACTCACTGCCACACTGAAGAACATTTTAGAAAGAACTGCTAATCTTTTTAGAGCAACTTCATTTATTTTGGAATGACTTTTTCTGCGCAAATAATTCGCTGAGACATTTTTACATTCAATCCTTTCTAACCAATAAAACACTAGCTGGACGTGGTGGTAAATGTCTGTTATCCCAGCACTCGGGAGGCTGAGGCAAGAGGACCAGCCTCAGCTACATAGTGAATTCAAAATCAACCTGAACTAAAAAAAAAAAAAAACAAAGTCAACCTGAACTACACAGCTAGACCCTATTTCAACAAACCAAATAGAAAATAAGGCAATGAATATTCAAAATCATCAGTCTTATATTTTATCCTATGATAACATTAGACTTTGAAATGTTTCTCTAAATGTTTTCTCATTATTTGTAATAATAACTAAAGTGCCAACAAGTATTGAACTCATTTAGAATATTAAACCACTCCATGGCCCCAAAAGGAAAAAATTTGCTGGTTCGCAAATGTAACTGTACAAATGTTCCAAAAGGTATTTTTTCTTCTGACTTTGTGATTCATTGATTATTCAATAATGTACTATTTAATTTCCATGTATTTACCTAACTTTATAATTTTATAAACACTGGTATAGATACAAATTAAATTTTAGAAAAATTCCAAAAATATAGCAGCTATGTGTAAACCAGCATATATACAGATAAGTTTCTAGTTGCTTTCTAACCTTTCTAAAGAAAAAAAGCACCACAAGCTGAGTTATAGGTTATATATAACTTTTTCTTTATTACAATTTTAGGTTTACTCAAAACTAGAAGTAAATGAACATAATGCCCAGGAAGACAGAAATGCACAGTTCTTTCGTACTTTCATTATACATTAAATCCAAAAGAGCCCAGTGTGTTGGGACACACTATTATCCCAACACTCAGGACCTGAGGCAGAAGGATCACCTTGAGTTAAAGGCCCATCTGCACTACACAGTGAGATCAAGGCCAGCATGAATTATATAGCAAGACCTTGTCTCCAAAAAGAAAAAGAAAAAAATCACACTCAAAAGAAGCCTCTTTCAGTGTAAAAAGGAGAATTATTTGGTCTTTGTGTATTACAAAAGTCAAAGGTCTTTGACAACCAAACTAAATCATAACATTTTCTGCAGAACATACCTCAATCCTGCAGTCATGAAATACTGCCGGTGCACAGGGTGCACATGAACAGTTCTTATCTTTCCCATAGAAGAACAAATAAGCTTCTCATAAGAAGTCCCAGATGTCCGTCTATCCACCAGTGACAGGGTCCCATCCCAGTGTCCTACTAATAAAGTGGCAGCATCCTCTGTCAAGAAGTCAAAGGAGGAAAAGCTCTTGCTTTCATTTCTGTACACCTAAGGGTATAAGTAACAATTAGCTGTACGACAGTTTTCCCTTAAGAAAAGTTGTTTTTTTTTTTTAATCGGTACCAGGGATCGAACTCACGACCGCCTGCTTGCAAGGCAGGTGCTTATGCGCTGAGCTAAATCCCTAGCCCCTTCCCTTAAGAAAAGTTAAAGCATAAATTCTTATCTTTTTTTTTTGTACCGGGGATTAAACTCATGACCTTGGGGCTGGGGATTTAGCTCAGCGGCATAAGTGCCTGCCTTGCAAGCAGGCAGTAACGAGTTCAATCCCTGGTACAGATAAAAATGAAAAAGAAAAAAACAAAAAAAACTCATGACCTTAAGCTTGCCAGACAGGTGATTATGCCATTGAGCTAAATCCCTGGCCCCAAAGTGTAAATTCTTAATAAAAAAGTTATAAAGCATTTTACCCAAATCATCTCACTCATCTTCTCAACATCCACACAGGAAGCACAGAGTGAACTGGAAATCAAGGCAGTGCAGCTGTGAGGCTTACCTTTAATCAAAAGTCTCATCTATGGGCTAGGGATTTAGCTCAGTGGCATAAGTGCTTGCCTGGCAAATACGAGGTCATGGGTTCGATCTCTGGTACCAAAAAAAAAAAAAAAAAAAAGCCGTATCCACTCATGTCAGAGCCACAACCCAATCTCAGAACCAATAACCCTCTGTTCCAGTCATACCTCATAAAACATACTAGGAAATGAACTGAGTCTGAATTCCATCCCATTGAAATTATACCTTAACATACCAAGTAACTTTGCCAACCAGGCCCAAAATATCCTGTTGAATGTTCATTTGTTCTTATAATAAAATAACAAATTAAAATTCTTAACAGTTAAGCAGACTGCATCTATCAAAATATTTAATGCGTATAGTCTTTTACCTAATAATCTCACTACGAAATGGATAAAGATATCTGCCACAAGAAAGCTTGTAATAGCAACAAGAAGGTGCCAAAACAGGTCTGGTCAAATGAATTACTATCACATCTCCACTCTAAAATATGCAATGCTGAAAGGAATGAGGCAGTGTGGTTTTACTACCTCTCCGACACATACTATTAAATGAGAAAAGTGACATATAAAAGATTAAGTAATGGTTTAAATCCATTAGTACAAATGAGGAGAGAAAAAGGTCTCTGTAAAGATACAGTATTTGCTTCCTGGAGTTACACTCAAGATGTATCAGTTCAGGGTTCCTGTACTGAAACAAAAAATAAATACTTCTATCAAGTAAGAACAAATACTATTCTTGTTGTTGAATCATGAATTGCTATTGATTTGTTGTTTTGATAACAAGTAGTATAAACTAAGATTAACAAATTAAACTCTAAAGCATCACAACTTCCACACACCCAAAAAAGCTCAATATATACAAACTAAACTTCTTCAGATATTTGGTCCGTATGTTAAAATGGCTGAGAACAGAGGTTTGTAAGTCAGACAAACCCTAGTGCAAATTTTAGTTCTACCACTTACGTTCTTTTTTTATTTTTGAGACAAGGTCTCATATAGTTCAAGCTGGCCTTGAACTCACTATCTAACTTGAACTGGCTTCAAACTCAGTGATTCTCCTTCTCAGCCTCCAAAGTCCTGAGATTACTGCCATGTGCCACCATGCCCAGCAACCATTTATATTCTTGAGCAAGGTAATAAATCTCTCTTACCTCAGTTTTTTCATCTTTTAAATGGGAATAAAATTATCTATTTCATAGTATATATTTCATGTACTAAATATACAGTACATTCATAATTTCACGTAGCATAAAGTAACTTCAAATAGCAGTATCAGGAACTAATTATTGATACATGCAACACACAGATTGAATCTTAAAAGCATAAGAACAGGTAAGAGGGCAGATACAAAAGCCTACACAGCATTTGACTCCATTTGTTAGACAATGGAAAAGACTAAATTATAGGCACAAACAGTGATGGGCTCTGTCTCAAAAAAAAAAAAAAAAAAATACACACACACACACACACACATATACATACATACATGTGGGTGTGGGTGTGTGTATATATGCACAGTAACCAGATCAATGGTTACCAGGGGCTGCAGACAGAGGGCAGAGACTGACTACAAAGAGTCATGACAGAATTCTGTGGAGAGAAGGAAACTTCCTGTTATCTTCATTGTGGTAATGGTTATACTGGTGTAAACAATTCTCCAAAACCCATAAAACTGTATAAGAAGGTAAATTTCACTGTACAAAACAAGCTTCTAAAAAAGTAGAGAAGTTTTACAACTCAAGAGAAAAGATTAAAAACTCAATTAAAACAAGGACAAAGGTTTTAAATGCTTCTGTAAAGAAACAGCATAAAGATGCTCAGTAACCACATCATTGATCGTTAGAGAAATGCAAATCAAAACCACAGTAAGGGGACCAGGGATTTAGCTCAGTAGTGCAGTTCCTGCCTGGCAAGCATGAGGTCCTGAGTTTGATTCCTGGTACCCAAATAAATAAGTAAACAAACAAACAAAACCAAAGTAAGGCACCATTTCATGCCCACAGCACAGCCACCCTACCAGCAACAACAGTCACTGCAAGGTTGTAGACAAACTTGAACCCTTACACATGAATGATGGGAATGCAAATGATACCAATGGTTGGGGAAAATTTGGCAGTTCCTAAAAATGCTAAACAATGCTGGACGTGGTGGCAGCACTTAGGATGCTGAGGCAGAGGATCGCCTCCAGTCAAGGTCAGTCTGGCCTACAGAGTAAATTCAAGGTCAGCCTCAATAATTAAGATCGGAAAGCTAAAACAAGAGGATTACCATCAGTTTAAGACTAGCCTGGGTTACACAGTGAGTTCAAGGACAGCCTGGACTACATAGTGAGACCCTGTCTCAAACAAATAAAAAAAAATTTACATAGTGAGACCCTGTCTCAAAAAACAAAACAAAACAAAAAAAATCAAGATACCATGTGACAACTGTACATAAATGTTCAGCCTCACATTATTTGCAACAATTAAAAGCAGCCAGGTACGGTGGTACATGCCTGTAATCCCAGCACTTAGAAGATTGAAGCAGGAGATCATTGTAAATTCAACACCAGCCTGGGCTACAAAATGAGGTCCAGCCTAAATTGCCTAGCAAGACTCTGCCTCAAAATAAAGAAAAAAAAAAAAAAAAAAAAAAAAAAAATATATATATATATATATATATATATAGAGAGAGAGAGAGAGAGACGTTAGAGACAAGAGATAGAGATGGGTAAAGATAGATTAAATCTGAGCTGAAAGTGTGGTTCTAAACCCTGGGTTCAATTCCCAGCAGAAGAAAGGAAAAAAGAGATGGAAGCCAGGAGTGGTGACAGATGTCTATAATCCTAGCACTGGGCTAATTCAGGAGGATCACTAGGAGTTCAAGGCCAACCTGGTCTATATAGTAAGTTCAAGGCTAGCCTGCATTACATAGCAAAACTAGTCTCAAAAAAAAAAGAAAAGAAAAGAAAATATGAAGCAAGAGCCATCCTTCCTGGCAAGCAGGGCATGCCAGAGACAGAATAAGTCAGTACCTCCCGAGAATCAGCCATGCTAGAACTTGCTGGAACCAAGAAAGTAATGAGCCAGTCTTCCTTGTAAGTGCTGCAAGCCGCAGAGGCACCAGAGAAAGAACAAGTCTGTGTCTCCCGTGAGCCTACCAGCGAACAGGCTGAAAATCAAATTCCCGTGCGCCCATCCCGTTAGCAACTGGATAGACTGCAGGTCAGCCAGAGTTGATAGCAACTAAGGTACATAAAGCAACTAAATGCTTGTATTGTTAGGTTAATTATGCTGACCTGGGGCCAGAGGTCTGAGCATCTCTTGGAAGGATGACAGTATTTAATATAGCAAAAGGGGGATTTCCTTCTATCCTGTCTTTGAAAGCCAATATTATTTTCACTGTTTTGCTTGGTTTGTACTATTCAATATTCTATTTTGATTGGTTTTATAGTGTTCTGCTTTTGGTTTGGTTTTACTAATACTGACTGGACAACTGTTGTGAAGATGAGATATATTATGGTAGCTATTATTGTTATCCCAGTATCCTGCTCTGAAGTTATGTACCAATTTCCCTGATTTGTTCTGACTGGCTTTGTTCTGTCTTGTTTTGTTGTATTTTACTATCTTTAAAATAAAAGATATGAAAAAGAAGAAGGGAAGGTGGTGGAAGAGGGTGAAGGAAGAGAAAAGGAAGGGAGAGAAAGGGAAAGGTGGGGAGGAGAAAGAAGAGGAAGAAAACAAAGGAGAAGAAAGAGGAAGAGATGACATCTTAACACTTGGCTTGAAGGCGATGGAAGATCAAATTTATACTTTCTGTATTACATACTAAAATTCTTTGGTATTTAACATAATGCCATTAAACAGGGCGTGGTGGCATATTACTGTAATCCCAGCACTTGGGAGGCAAAGGCAGAAGGATCATTGCAATTTCAAGGCTAGTCTGTGCTACAAAGTGAGCCCAAGACCAGCCTGAACTGCATGGCAAGACCCTGTCTCAAAAAGACCAAAATAATAATAATAATAATAATAATAATAATAATAATAATACCATTACTGATGAATTTCTCTACTGTCTTTTTTGCCAGTGTAAGAATCACTCCCGCAATAGTGATGCATGCAAAGAAGAGAGAGAACAAAAAGGTAGTAATATTCCAATATTTTCCCCCAAGTGAATAAGTATAAGGCTTAATCCTAGAAATAGTAAAATTACTTTATTTAAAATCTTTCCCAAAAAAATTAATATAGTGGCACATACCTCTAGTCCCAGCTACACAGAAGACTGAGTCAGGAAAATTATTTGAGGCTAAGCTAGACAACCAAGAATGACCCTGACTCTTAAACAAAAAATAGGGCTTAGGATATAGTTTAGCAACACCTGCATGGCAAACATAAGGTCATGAGTTCAATTGCCAAAAAAAAAGAGTAAACACTGTGTGGCAGGCACTGTCCTAACACTTTATCTGCATTAACTCATTTAATCCTTGTGACAACCCTATTACGCAGCTATCATGACTATCCTACTTCACAACTAAGAAAACTGAGGCATCAATAGGTTAAATAACTTGTCCAGGTCACATAGCTAGCAATAGATTTTCTGAGACTTGAACTTAGCCCCAACAACTGTTCCCCTTCCACCACTATAACTGACAATAATCACTCATGTGGTATCTCCCAGAGAATCCAGAATCTCATCTGAGGTTGGCGCGTAAACATATGACCACTTACCTCATCAAAGGCAGCCTTGGAGAAATCCCCACATCGCAATGTGCCATCATAGCTCAGGGACAAGAGGTGGACTGGGTTGGCAGGTGAGAAGTAAAGGCAGCTAATGGGCTGACTGTGGGGAGAGAAAATATATGTCCCATCTTCTTTATTTTGTTGAGTCTGAAAGAAAGTTGGAGATTCAAAGATGATATAACTAAGCTATTCACATAGGGATTATATCTAGTCTTTTCTCTAACTATGCTCACTCTCACACTCAGATAGAAGTAGGAACTTCACACAAATGTGAAATTTGTTTTCCTATAGCTTTTAGGATAAAAATCCAAAATTGGTTTTGGTTTTTTTTGGTATTGGGGATTGAACTCACAACCTCATACTTGCCAGACAGGCGCTTATGCCACTGAGTTAAGTACCTGGCCCCCCAAAAAATCCAAATTTCTTAACGAAGTTTAGATGGTAAATGTCTTACCTTAGCCCACATTTGCAGCTTCCTACTTCTCCACTCACTATCTCTTTTCTTCCATGACTTATTTATGTATTTATTCTGGAGCCAAGGAGTAATGGGGATTGAGCCCAAGGCCTTCACAGTAAGCTACATTACCAGTCCTTTTATTTTTCATTTTGAGACAAGGTCTCACCAAGTCACAAAATTATGAATTTGTAGCCTTTCTGCCTCACCATTCTAGAGAGCTGAGATTACAGGCATGTGCCACCTGGTCCAGCTTCCTTAAGCTCTTGACTATATCAAATAGGCACTTTCCTGCCTAAAGTTTAACCCTTTGTCTTAAATAATTTTCCCTTTCTTTATTTCACTCCTCCTTAGCTTTTAAATCCTAAATCAATTCTCACTTCCTTAGGAAAGCACTCCCCAATCCTCTAAATTAGGTCAACCTTCCATCATTGTGTTTTTGAAACACTATTCTCTTTTACCCCAGGAGTCACAGTATGCAGTAATTCACTCCACTTATATGTGATTTACACTGGGATTGCACCCCCCCCCATAATGGCTATCACCAAGAACATAAAAACAATGAATGTTGGCAAAGACTGGAGTAGGAACCCTTCTAAGTGCTGATAAGAATGTCAATTAGTACAGCCACTATGGAAAACAGTATGAGCGTCCTCAAAACACTATAGAGAGCTACCATTTGATCCAGCTATACCACTCCTCAGAACATACCTGAAGGAATTAGCATACTAGAAAATACCTGCATAGCCATGTGTATTGAAACACAATTCACAATAACAAAGATATGGAAGCAGCCTCAGTGCCCATCAACACAAGAATGGATAAAAGACAAATGTATTCAGTTACAAGAAAGAATGAAATTCTGTCCTTTGCAAAAAAAAAAAAAAAAAAAAATGGATAGATCTAGATACTATGACACTGAGCAAAATAAGCCAAACCTGGAAAGACAAATATTATATGTTGGTCCTAATATGTGAAATCTAAAAAAAAGATGACAAGCAGGAAAATAGGAAGGGAATAGTAGGGAGGGGAGGGTATGAAGGAGGGAATAGGGTGATGGATATGAGCAAATACCATATATATACTGAAACCCAACACCCAGAAACTTGTGAACTAGGTGGGAAGGTGGGACCAGAAGGGTGACAGAAGAGTGAAAATGATCAAAGTATGTCACGTGCATGTAGGAATGTGCCAAAATAAACCCATTAACCTGCATAACCAATAACATACATAGAAATTGATAGATTCTGCTAGCCTGGGGCTTAGCTATTTCTAACATGACATCTGCCCAACTTTGTATCTGGACCCAAGAAGCAACTTATCTCTCCAAGAGTAACTTCTATGTTCTCCTTCTCATTCCAGAGATAAATCTCCTGCTCCCTTTTTGCACGTGGCCAAGCCCTCTCCAATTCCAAGACTCTACAACCACCCAAGTGCTCCTCTACCCCCAGCCCCCAGTAAATTTTTCTGCTTCCTATTTTGGCAGGCAGATGTTCCTTCGAATCAGCTGTTAATATATCATTTTGCCCACTCCCAAAAAACTCCTCCCGCCAAACCTGTTAATTTGTTCTCACTGAGAGCTCCCACACCTCTTTGCAGTTCTCCCATGCCCTTATTTAAGGCCTTTTTATTGTCTCATTATTTCTTTTGCACGGCCTCAGATTGAGTGCCAAAAATACTCAATCAAAAATATTTTTATATACTTGGTAATTATTTCATTATCACTGCTTCTACCACTAATTCTAACCTCTACACGGACACACAAAAAACAGTAACTCGAACTTTGGGCCTAAGTGACTAGAAATCTATGACAATTAAACTGGACTCTCAACTGAGTTCAGAGCCCCCTGAGGGGATTAGGAAAGCACAGTTCTGGCTGAGTCTGGGTGTCATGGAGCTGTAATTTCTGGATCTATTTTGGGTCCCTGACCACTTCCTCTCTGGCACTACTTTCCTTGCTCTGCCCTCTGGCCACCCTCTGCCCTTCCACCATGACATCTCTGCCTTAACATCAATCAACCATGAACCAAAAGCTCTGAAATCAAGAGCAGAAAGAAAAAATCTTCTTCCTTTAAATTGTGTATGTTAGGTATTTAGTCCCAGTAACAAAAAGTTGATCCGTACAGAACCTGGCAGCAAGTTAAGAGGGAAAACTGGGGGAATTCAAGGCAATTCAGTGGCAAAAGGATAGTCCTTTCAACAGTGCTGGAACAACCAGATATTTACATATGAAATGATGAACTTAGCCTGTCACTTCACAACATATACTAAAAATAACCCAAGATGGACTTTTTGAAGAAAACTTAAGCTTTAAGACTGAACTAGATGGTGCTGGGGATTTAGCTCAGTGGCATAAGCGCCTGCCTTGCAAGCAGGCAGTTGTGAGTTCGATCCCGGGTACCGATAAAAAGGAAAAAGACAAAAAAAAAAAAAACAAAGACTGAACTAGACAAAAATTTAAAAAAACACTGAACTAGACAAAGATTCCTCAGGTACAACATCAAACATAACCTGTTTTTAAAAACTGATAAACTATTATTAAAATTTTAAATTTTTGCATTTCAAGAGATAGCACTGAAAAACGTGAGAGCAAACCATAAGCAAGGGGGAAATATCTGCAAATCACATTCAACAAAGGATTTATATCTAGACTGTTCAAAAAACCCTTATAACTCAAACAACTCAATAAATTAAAAAAATAAAATATGGACAAAATCAGGTATACTAGTATATGTCTATAATAGCAACACTCAGGAGGCAGAGGCAGAAGGATTTCTGCAAGTTTACAGCCAGTCTGGCATATAGATAGAAAGAGGTCAAGCCTAAACTTCATAGCAAGACTGTCTCAAAACAACAAAAAATAAAAATAAGATAGAATTTTGGGCAAAACACTTGGACAGACATTCCTCCAATGATACAAATGACATGAAAAGATGTTCATCAGTAGTCTTTGGGGAAATGTAAGTCAAAGCCACAGTAGGAAGGTAAAAATTCAAAAGACAAAATAATAGAGTTGGTGAGGAGATGAAGAAATTGGAACCTTACACACTGTTGGTAAAAACAAATGAAGGTGCGATTACTTCAGAAAGCAGTCTGAAGTGAATTGTTAAGCAGTGTTAGCGTATGATACAGCAATCCCACTCCCAAGTAGATACCCAAGAGAAATGAAAACAGGTCCATATCAAAATGTACACAAAAATGTTGATAGCAGCATATTAAAAGTAGACAGAAAGTTGACTCCAAATGTCCATCAATAGCTAAATGGATAGACGCTGTGATACAGCAAAACAATGGGTTGGTACTCAGCAACAAAAAAGAATGAAAGCTTGGTATGGTAGCACACCCCTATAATTTTAGTACTCCGGGAGGCTGAGGCAGGAGGATCACTGCAAGTTCAAGACCACCCTGGACTACACAGTGAACTCGAGGTCAGCCTGACCTGCATACCTGTCTAAACAAATACACACATACATACATATATACATTAATAATAAATACATACAGACAGACAGACAGACATAAGAAAGACTAGCAGGCATGGTGGTACACACCTGTAATCCTAGCACTGGAGAAGCTAAGACAGGAGAATTGTCTTAATTACTTCTCTCACTGCTGAAACAACATACCCAAAACCCAAAGTTAAAGGAAGATTTAGCTCACAGTTTATAGAGCTTTCAGTTCACAGTTCATAGCTGGCTGCCACAGCAAAGGGGCATCTCAGAGGAGAAATGCAAGGTAGGCAGAAGACAGTAAAAGCAAGCAAGTGATCTTAGCAGCTTTTTTCTGCCTCTTTTATTATATCTAGAGTAGGCTTTTATATTTTATCTAGGGTGGTGGCAAACCAGTTAAATGATTTAGTCATCACACACCCTTAATGCCAACATCACTGTTCAGATCCACTCACCTCTGAAAAAGTCCCACCTATATCTGCATGAAGCTCTGGGGAGATACCGAGACACGGGCCTTAAATGGGGTAACCCAAGGACAGACAAGATACTGATTTTAAATCTCCAGCTCAGAGTCTGCTTAGTCTGGACTGCTATAACAAGTTATCCTAACAGCAGATATTTATTTCTCAGTTCTGGGACAAGGCAGTCCAAAATCAAGATGCTGGCTGATCTAAGTGTCTACAGAGGGCTAATTTCTGGTCTATAGAGAGTGGCTTCTAAGGCCCTGGAATGTAGCTCAGCAGCATGAGGTCATGTGTCTGATTAACAGTATCAAAAAAAAAAAAAAAGGAATACTTATAGATAGTGCCTTCTAGCTGTGTCCTCACTTGGTAAGAAGAGGAAAGAATCTTTCTTGGGCTTCTTTCACAAGGGCACGAACCCCTTTCATGAACTAATAACCTCCAAAAGCCACACACACCCTAATACCATCACCCTGGGGGACACGCATTCAAAATATAAATTTTGGGAGGACACACAGTCACTTCATAGCAGATCGTATTTTATTTAATTTGGGGGGAAAAGGGAGGCAGGGTACCAACAATCAAACTCAGACCCCTGTGCTTGTCAGGCAGGTGCCTATGCTGCTGAGCTACATCCCCAGTGGACGATATTTTAAACATAACTGACTTTTCACATACTCAATTAAAGTCTCCAGGCAATTGATGCAGGTCCAGATGGCTAAAAATATTCAAGTTAAAAATGTTTTTTTTTTTTGTTAGATATCACTAAAGATCAAGTTAAAAATGTTAAAATGAATTTAAATAAAAATTTCTATAAAACAAATTTAAATTCCTCCAGATTTCTAAAATTTAGAATCATAAAACACAAGGGGGCTAGGGATTTAGCTCAGCGGTATAAGTGCCTGCCTTGCAAGAAGGCAGTCGTTAGTTCGATCCCCGGTACTGATAAAAAGGAAAAAGACAAAAAAAAAAAAAAAAAAAAAAACCCACAAAATAAAATCTCAAGTATTATTTATAAATAAATGTCTCAGTTGGGGATCTAGCTCAGGGATATAAGCACCTGCCTGGCAAGCACAAGGTCATGAGTTTGATCCCCAGTACCAAAACAAAAACAACAGCAACAACAACAACAACAAAAAAAGAATAAATGTCTCTAGGCTTTTGCCTATCAAGATTATCTGCTTTAATAAAACTTCAGTACCTTCAAAAAAGTAATAGCTGGTCATGGTGGTGTATGCCTGTAATCATAGCACTCAAGAGGCTGAGGCAGGAGGATTGTCATGAGTTTGAGGCCAGCCTGGGCTACATAGTGAGTCCATGCCAGCCTGAACTACACAGTAAGATCTTGTCTCAAAAAAGCAAAACAAATGCAAGGTTATGAATTCAATCCTCAGTACAAAAAAAAAAGGGACAGAGATAGGGATTTAGCTCAGCAGGATAAGCACTTGCCTGCCAAGTACAAGGTCATGAGTTGGATCCCTGATACCAAAACCAAAACAAAAAAGGAACAATAACTTACCAAATCCCAAAGTCCAATTTGCCCAGATTTGGACCCCGCTGCTACCATAATTCTAGTTTCTGATGGATGGAGAGCCACAGAGGATATCGAGCCTTTCGTAACTTTATGAACAGTATCTTCACTAATGACCATGTCATTTAAATTGGCTTTATAGCTATGAAAATTAAAACATTAAATTTTAAAAGTAAAATCAATCTCGAAAGTCAAATAAGTAAAAGATACAAAAGGAAAAACCATAATTAGTAAATACATGCTAGAAAATATTCCATCTTCTGATAACCAAGAAAGAAATTAAGTTAAACAATGATATACTATTTTTCAATTATAAAATTGCCATTGATAATTTTGATGATATTACAAAGTAATGAGCTACAAGTGGGAAAACAAAGGCAGGAAACTCACCACGTGTTCAAAGCCAGCCTGGGCTACACAGTAAGTTCAAGGCCAGCCTGAACTACCTAGTGAGACCCTGGCTCAAATGAAAACCTAATAATGGTGATAATAATAGGCTACAGTAAAACTTGGGCCAGGAATGTGGTTCAGTAGTGGAGCACGTGGCCAGACTACACAAAGCCCTCAGTTTGATTCCTGATATATGTGACACACTCACATATATTGCTAGTGACAAGGTAAATTCAAGTAACATTTTTAAAGCCAAGGCCTCACACGTCGTACTAAGTGTTCTATATTGCTCTGCACCCCAGCTTTAGCAATGGTTTTTAAGCCTTAAAAAAGTTTGGTTTAAATCCTGGTTTTGATGCTGGACATAGCAGCACGTGTCTATAATCCCAGCATTTGAGAGGCTGAGGAACAAGTTTGACGCTAGGCTGGCTTACAAAGTGAGCTCAAAGCCAGCCTAAACTGAATACTTGTCTCCAAAAAGACAAAATGAATCATTCAATCAGTCAGTCTTGGTTTTCTAGCATTATACCACAGCAGTATATATACCCATATTTATTTATAGCAGCACCATTCGTAACAGCTAAATCTTGGAAAGAGCCCAGATGCCCATCAATGATCAATGGAGGGCTGAGACATAGATCAGCAGCACAAGCACCTGCCTGGCAAACACAAGGTTGTGACTTTGACTCCCATTACAAAAAAAAAAAATGACTGGATAAAGATGTGGGGTTTTCGGGCAATGGAGCACTACTCTGCCATAAAAAAGGATAAGCATGAGACATTTTTGGTTAAATGGATGTACCTTAAAATCACAGTCTTAAGTGAAATAAATAAGACATACATGAAAAAAATATTGTATGGTTTCTCTAATAAACAGGAATAAAATGTATAATAGATACTGAGAAAAGGGAAGAAAATGTTAAAATGTGAAGAGTAACAAGGATTAAGGACGAGACAAGAAACAAATAGAAGGAAAAGTGGAAACAAAGCTTTTGTAAATAAAGAAAGAAAAGAGGAGCTGAAGGGAGGTAGGGGAATGTGAAAAAAAAAGCAGCAGCAAGATATAGTATGTAAACTTGGCGTGGTGGCTTACGCCTGTAATCTCAGCACTCGGGAGGCTGAGGCAGGAGGATCGTTGCAAGTTCCAGACCAGCCTGGGCTACAAAGTAAGCTCAAGCCCTGCCCAAACTATAGAGGGACCCTGTCTCAAAAAGACCAAAAAAAAAAAAAAAGATCTATCATGTACAGGTACCAATTCCCTATAATAAATGTTAGCACTATGTACATCTAAAATATATCAATAAAATAAAAAGAAAAGGAAAAAAAGTCCTGGTTTTGTCACACTGCTCTCTTTTCCTCTGACCTACAAGAATTAACTAACTTGTTTCCAACCAGTTTGTTTTTCAGTTTTGGTCACTTTTCTCTCATTGCTGAGACAAATGCCCCCAATTAGGGAAAGAAAGGTTTTTTTAACTCAGTTTGTGAAGTTTCAGTTCATAATCAGATGGCTGTAAGGCAAAATGGACACGACAGAGGGCAACAGTTCTTGGCAGCAGAAAACAGCACAAGCAACAAAGGAGAGGAGCATGGAGAGAAGACTCTTTCTGTCCCTTATATTGTATGTAGCCACACCCGCTTGCCTGGCAAACATGAGGTACTGAGTTCGATTCTCAGTGCAAAAAAAAAAAAAAACAAAAAGATTGCTAAAACAGATCTGTTTGGGCAAAGTCTTAAAACCGCAGGCACTAAGATCCCTTTTGGGAGTCTGTGGACATCCGTGTAGTTTTATGGGAGTTACAGTCTTCTAGGAGATAAAGCCAGATGAAGGCTTCAGTATGATATTACATATTTCCAGTGATAACAAAGACTTGAAACTCACTCCTGATACATATGGAGATATTTTGCTTAGACACTAAATGCATATAACATGTATAACATGCATGTGAATTTCACAAATCATCTGTGGGTCTGGGAGGGTAGCTCAGGATAATGCTTACCTAGCATTAGGAAGCCCTAAGCTGTACCCCCAGCACTACGAAGGGAAAAACAAACAAATGATTAAATGGAAAAAATGTATATAAAATTTACTTTATTTTTTCCTTTTTTTAGTAGTATTGGAATCAAACCCCAGGCCTGTGCCATTCTAAGCAAGTGCTCTACCCCCACGTAAGATTTTTAGAAGAAAAAAAAAAAGATAGAAAACAATTCGATAATGTATGCTAAAAGCCATTAAAAATGTCCACTGTTTGGCTCATTAGCTCTATCTCTGAGTATCTATCTTGAGAAAATAATTCACCACCATAGACACTTCAAAAAGTACTCACATAAACACACAAAGTTAAACAGAAAATAACCTCAAAATGTGATACACAAGTAGGAAGGAACGTAAACGAAAGTGAAGGATATCTGAGTAAAACATACTTTTTATTTTGTTTTGTTTTTGTGGGGGGTACTGGGAATCAAACTCAGGATCTCATGCTTGCCAGGCAGGTGCTGTACTACTGAGCTAAACCCTCAGGCAAAATATAGACTTTAATTAATAATAATATATCAATATTGGTTCATTAGTTGCGACAAATGTACCATATTAATTCAAGATGTTAATACAGAAAACCATATTAGGCAAAATTAGATGTAGGGTACACGCAAATCCTCTGTGCTATCCTTGCAATTTTCTGTAATTTAGAACAATTTTCTATCATTTTAATTTCAAAATTACAAGTTAATTTGGGTGGGGTGTACTGGGAATCAAACTCGGGACCTCATACTTGCTAGGCAGGAAGTGTAGCACTGAGCTAAATCTCAACCCATTTAAAAAAATCTTTGGCCAGTGTGATAGTGCCCACCTATAATTGTAAGCATTCAGGAGGCTGACGCAGAAGGATCACCACTGAGTTCAAGGTCAGCCTGGACTGCATAGTAAGATCTTGTCTCAAAAAAACAAAAACAAAACAAAACAATTTTTAGAGAAAATACCCCAAACACCAAATGGGTAAAAGGAAGTTAAGTAAATTCCACCTACTCAATTTCAAAATACTATGCAGTTATTCAGTAATTTAAAAATTCTGAGCCAGGCATAGTGGTGCACACCTGTAATCCCAACACTCAGAGGGCAGAGGCAAGGCCAGCCTATGCTACACAGTGAATTTAAGACAACCAGATCGACATAGAAACCATCTCAAAATAAACAACATATAAAAATAAAAGATTCTGATAACACATGCATAAGGCAAAATTTATATACATCAGAACATAAGGTAAAAATGTGAATTGGAGATAGATATGGGGAAGTAGGCAGTATAGCACATGATCTAGGCATGTGATACGGGCGAGAAGACTACACACTTACACTGTCTGATGTTCTTAGGGAAACCGCCCTCTGTGGGACCTGTGCATGCATTTGCTATATGTCCACAGACCTTGTGAACCTTGGCTCATCCCAGAAGCAAAGGCTAAAACCCTGACTGACCTGGATTATATCAAAATGAAACAGTTATTTTTAGGAGTCCTAAGTACAAAGAAGCCAGACACTATGCTGAGAAGCTCAGCTTGGACTTCTTTCTGTCAAAACAGCTCACCTGCTGTTTGGTAGTCTCACTCTTACACTGTAATTACTCCTCTGTTTCACTTTAGGTCCTTTTTTGAGTTCCTCATTTCTCACCAGAATGATCTTTGGTTTGGAGTCTGCCTCACCTCACTTTCTGCATTCCTGCCAGGGAAGTGGAAGGTTTTCGAGCCTCCAAGCCCCCTGCCTGATGCAACAAATTCATTCATTTATTCAACATTTAGTGAATATATAGTATGTGCCAAGCATTGTTCTGGTTACTGAGATAAAATCCCTGCCCTCATGAAGTTTATCCTAATGGTACTGCATATGGCAACCAAAAGACACACAAAAAATAAAACCAACAGCTGCTTGGGAAAAATTATTAGAGAATTTTTTCACTTCACTTTCAAAATTCCTTATAATAGCTTTTATAATTAAAACATCTCAAAAATATAAAACTGTCAAGTGCAGTAGTTCCTACCTATAATCCCAGCACTTTATCATAGGTTTGAGCCCACCTGGGCAATGTATCAAGACCCCATCTCAAATTTTAAAAAATAGGCCAGGCATGGTGGCACACACCTATAATTCCAGCAGTAGGGAGGCTGAGGCAGGAGGATCCTTTGGAGATCAAGACCAACGTAGACTACAAAGTGAGCTCAAAGCCAGTCTAAACTGTATAGCAAGACCCTGTCTCAAAAAGACAAAAAAGGAAAAAAAGGTAAAATTTTAAAAATAAAAATAAAAGGAGTTAGAAATGTGGCTCCTTGTGAAGGCCCTGAGTTCCATTGGCCTTTCCTTTGTTGTACTGGGGTACAAAAAAGAAAAAAAAAGGTAAAACAAAGGTCAAAAGTGTAAAACAATGGGCTGTGGATTTAGCTCCGTGGCATATTCACCTGCCTGGCAAGTGGAAAGTTGCAGAGTTTGATCCCTAGTACTGAAAAAAAAAAGTAAACAAATGGAAAGAATTTTAACTTACCTTTTAATGCTAGATAACACCTCCATGTTCTTACCAATTGTCTGAAACATTGGGAAAGACCAAAGTACTAAGTTAATATGTACACATATATATAACGGAAATTTCCTTCACAGATGACTCCAAAGGTTGTAAACCTTCCCAAATCATACCTTGCTCATTTCTCCCCATGTCTGCAGAAATCCTTTAAATAGTTCATGGTTGTCACCTACATTTTCAGGAATCATTTCCAAAGGCCCAGGTGGTAACAAAGGCTATAATTAAAAATAAAAATTTTACAATTTGTCTCTTTATCCCTAAAGAAGGTACTTTATCCCTAAAGAGGGAGAGTACTGTATTTGTCTGTCTTTTGACTACTTTACTTCCAACACCGACAACGTGGAGGCACATCACAGGTGTTCAATAGTAATTCTCAACAAATGAATGCCAACAAAAGATATCAAATGCTAACAAGGATGCAAAGAAAGAGGAATTCTTACACTGTTGCTAAAAAATGTAAATTAGTACAGTCACTATAGGAGACAGTATGGATGGTCTGCAAAAATCTAGAAACAACAAACTGTAATATGACCCGGCCTCCCTACTCCTAGGCTTATGTCCACAGGAAATGGAATTGTGTGTTGCAGTAGTACCTGTACTCTCACAATCCACAATAGCCAAGGTATGGAACCAACCTAAATGCTCATCGACAAATGACTGTGGAATAAGGAAAATGCAGTATATATAAATGGAGTACTAATCATACTTCTATAGGAGGAAAATTCTTTTCTTTGCAGCAACATGGATGAAACCAAAGGACACTATAAATCTGACACAGAAAGACAGATACTCCATTTTTCCATTTATATGTGAAATCTAAAATTGATTTTAGAGAGAGCCTGAGATCAGTGTGGAAAAGCAAGGAAAGGACATAGTGTGGGTAACAGGTACCAGGTATACAGCTGGATCTGTGGAGCAAATTCTTATGCTATATAGTACAGTAAGTGACAATGAGTGACAACAATTAATAAAATATTTCAAAACAGATAATAGAGAAGGTTTGAATGTTCCCAACACAAATTTGTCTGAGGTGATAGATGAGTTAATTATTTTAAATTTGACCATCATACATCGTATACCTGTATTGAAATGTCACTCTACTCCCTAAATATGCACAGTAACTGTATCAACTTAAAAGCACGTGTTAATAAAAAATGCCCTACATACATATTTACACACAGACATGCATACATATAAGTATGTTGTTGCTCTGTGCCAACATTTTCTTTTGTTTCTTTTTTTTTTTTTGACACCGGGAATCAAATTCACAACCTCGTACTTGCTAGGCAGGCACTTGTGCCACTGAGCTATATCCCTGGCCCATGCCAATGTTTTTTAAAGTGCAGGTTGCAAACTACCTTTTTTTTTTGGTACCAGGAATCAAACTCAGGGCCTGGCATTTGCCAGGCAGGAGCTGCATAGTCATAGTACATCCCCGGCTCTGCAAACTATTGAAGGATGGGTTGCGAAATGTTTTCTTTTTTGTTACTAATGATCAAACACAAGGCCACAGGGCACTCTATACTGAGCTACATCCTTAGCCCCCCCCCCGCCCCCTTTTTGAGACAGGGTCTCATTATGTAGTTCAGGCTATGTAACTCACATTCATTACATAGGCCAGGTGCTGGAATGATACACACGTGCCACCACATATGGAACCCTAGCCCTTTTGATATGTTTTTTAGGGGACGAGGGAGAAAATACCTGAATTTTAATCTCGGCCCTGCCACTCATGTGATTTTGAACTAGTTACCTTTTTTATTTTTATTAGTACATATTTGCCATGCATAATGATCATTCATCACAGAAAATTTGTATCTATACGTCTTTTTTCCCATTAGTCTTCTTTCCCTTCAACTCTTCCTCCCCTCCCCATTTACAAAAGCTTTTTTTTCCATTTTTTCTTTCAATTTTTAAAATTCTTTTTCTTATCTTTCCTTTCCCTTCCCCTCCTCTGTTCCCTTTCCTATTTGAACACATTCATCCTGTCCTCCACTTTGCTTTTTATTTACACTTTTGATTTCTCATATAAAAGAAACAATCCAATTTTTGCACCTATGTGTCTGATTTATTTTCACTTAACTTTATGGCCTTGAGGTGCACCCATTTACCTAAAAATGACTCAAGTGTGTCCTTCTTTATAGCAGAGTAGTACTCTACTGTATATAAATACATTTTCATTTTCCATTCATCTGTTGATGGATATGTGGGCTGTTTCCAAGATTTAGCTATTATGAATTGTTGTTGTAAACATGGGTGTGCATATAGCTCTATAGTATGGTGCTTTTTTTTTTTTTTGTCTTTTTCGTTTTTATCGGTACCAGGGATCGAACTCATGACTGCCTGCTTGCAAGGCAGGCGCTTATGCCACTGAGCTAAATCCCCAGCCCCTGGTATGGTGCTTTTAATTCTTTTTTTTTTTTTCTTTTGTACCAGGGATCAAACTCATGACCTCCAGCTTGCCAAGCAGACTTGTGCCACTGAGCTAAATCCCCAACCCCTGTGCTTTTAATTCTTTCAGGAAGATATCTAGAAGGGGCACAGCTGGGTCAAGTAGAACCTCTAGTTTTAGTTTTTGAGAAATCTCCACACTGATTTCCACAGTATAACCAGTTTATACTCCTACCAACAGTGGAGAAGGCTTCCTTTTTCCCCACAGCCCCACTGGCATTTGTTATTTGGTTGGTTTCTTAATGATAGCTATTCTTTCTAGAGTGAAATAGAATCTCAGTGTGTTTCAATTTGCATTTCTCGAATAACCAGTAATGAGTATTTTTTTTCATATATTTATTTGCCCTCTCTACTTCTTCATCTGAGAAGTATCTATTCATTTCAAATGCCCATTTGTAGACTAGGTCTATAAATTTGGGGAGTCTGGGGCCTGGGGATTTAGCTCAACGGCATAAGCACCTGCCTTGCAAGCAGGCAGTCGTGAGTTCGATCCCTGGTACCGATAAAAACGAAAAACGACCAAAACAAACAAACAAACAAACAAACAAACAAAAAAACGAAAAAGAAAAAAAAAATTGGGGGAGTCTGACTTTTTTAAGTTCTTTATATATTCTAAATGTTATTCCTTTGTCTGAGGAATAGCTGGCAAAAATTTTTTCACATTCTGTAGATTATGTTTTCACTCTGCTAGTGGGCTCTTTTGCTGCACATGTTTTATTTTGAAACAGGATCTCATTAAGTTGTCTACACAGGACTCAAACTTGTGATCCTCCTGCCTCAGTCCCCCAAGTATGGGACTACAAGTATGAACCATCATACCTGGCTTGTGAAATCATTTTAATACATATGTCATAACCAGCAATTTGTTTTAATGAGAATAAAACAGAAAGAAATGCTGGGCATGATGGTGCATGCCTGTAATCCCAGCACTCAGGAAGCTGAGGCAAGAGGATCACTGCAAATTCAAGATCTGTGTTACACAGTGAGTTCAAGGCCAACCTACACTACACAGTATGACCCTGTGTCAAAAAATGAAAAACAAGGGGCTGGGGGTTTAGCTCAGCAGCATAAATGCCTGCCTTGCAAGCAGGCAGTCGTGAGTTCGATCCCCAGTACCCATAAAAAGGGAAAAAGACCAAAAAGAAAAAAGAAAAACAAAACAAAACAAAACCCCACGAAGTACTCTTTAATAAAAAGTACAATCCTGCTGGGCATAGTGGTACAAGCCTTTAATCCCAGCACTCGGGAGGCTGAGGCAAGAGGATCCCTACAAATTCAAGGCCAATCTAAACTACATAGGCCAGACCCAGTTTCCAAAAAAAAAAAAAAAAATTATATACACATACCTTATGTAGGAAATAAATCTAAAACTGTCGTTCCACTCATAATATAAGCTACAGCAAGGGAAACACTTCACTTTTATCACTTAAAAAATTCATTACTAACAAAAATTCATCACTTATCATTACTATCATTATAACTTCCTTTCATTGACTTCACTAAGTCAGTGGTGGTAAACCTATGGCAGGCTTGCTAGAGAGTTGTTTGTTATCATTGAAAGCTCTAAAAGGTTCACCATCATTGTGCTAATTCCGTAATACAATGTTTTTAAAGCTGAGGCTCAGAAAGGTGAAATACTTATTTTACAACCCCAGAATTTCAGAAAAACAGAACCCAGCGCAGGCTTTATGACTTTAAAATCTTACTCACTACACCATACAGAATCTACATTAATTTAAGTTATTCAGCATTTTGTTAAATTACCATATATATTTTTTGTTTGTTTGTTTGTTTTGTTTTGTACCAGGAATCAAATTCAGGTCCTTACGCTTACCAGGTAGGCACTTGTGCTGCTGAGCTATACCCCTAGGCCCAAGTACTCTATTTCATTTGTGGTTTTTTCTTACATTTTCATCTTCTATTAATACTGGCTGTGTTGGAGTTGATGGTAATGAGACTCCTGAAGGATTGACATTCAGCAACCGCATTGATCTTCTACATCCAATCTCATTTTCTCTCTTCTTAGGCGTTTTTCTAGTGGAATAGAGAAAAATTCATCTATCCTATACTAGTAAAACAGTGAAACTGTTATATTGCACTAAAAAAAACAGTAAAACTGATAAAATAGCAATCTTAAGGCGATAACTTCTAGAAATGCTGCCCATACGTATAGTCACACATTAATGCATACACATTGATCAGACTGATTATATATATATATATATATATATATATATATATATGGCCACATTCATGAAAAAGTCTAGAAAAAGCCAACTCTAAAGGTTCAGCATGAATAGATGAGAGACATTTAAAAAATTATGCCATTATTATACAACAGAATGCTATGCAGCTACAAAAAAGACAAATATATCTAGGCATGGTGGCACACACCTATAACCCCAGCACTCAGGAGGCTGAGGTAAGAGGATCACAGGGAGTTTGAGGCCAGCCTGGGCTACACAGTGAGCTCAACTCTAGCCAGAAATACAGAGTGGCACCCTGTCTCAAAAAAACAGAACTACAGATTGGGAATGTAGCTCAACTGTAAAGCATTTGCCTAACACATGTGAGGCCCTGGTCTCCAATACCATGAAAGGAAGGAAGGGAGGGAAGGAAGGCGGGAAAGAAGGGAAGGAAAAAGAAAAAGACCAAGCACTCAACCAATGAGGTACAACCCCACATCTTTTTTTTTTTGTCTTTTTGCGACGGGGTCTCGCTATGCAGTTCAGACTGGTCTTGAGCCCACTTTGTAGCCCAGGCTGGTCCGGAACTCGCAAGGATCCTCCCATCTCAGCCTCCCGAGTGCTGGGATTACAGGCATGAGCCACCACACCCAGCTTCACATCATTTCTTATTCTGCAACAAACCACATTGCCCAGGCTGATCTCAAACTTGCAATCCTGCCTCAACTTCCTGAGTTGTTGGGATTATTGGTATGCATTATCATGTCCAGCTGTTCCATATTCTTTGGTGGAAATGAAAACTGGAAAGTTATTAAAGAATAATGTTGTCTCAAAGACCCTATAAGAATTAAGATTATTAGCCGGGCATGGTGGCTCACACCTGTAATCCCAGCACTCGGGAAGCTGAGGCAGGAGGATCGTTGAGAGTTCAAGACCAGCCTGGGCTACAAAGTGAGCTCAAAGCCAGCCTGAACTGCATAGCAAGACCCTGTCTCAAAAAGACAAAAAAAAAAAAAAAAAGAATTAAGATTACTGGGCCAGGGATTTAGCTCAGTGGTATAAGTGCCTGCCTGGCAAGCACAAGGTTGTGAGTTTGATTTCCAGGACCAAAAAAAAAGGAATTAATATTATAGAGTTTATGATCTACTACTAAGGTTTACTACACCAAACCAACTAAAATTATAATACACATGAGCCAAATAAACCTTTTCTCATTTTAAATAAATAAATAAATAAAATCATAAAACAGGTCAGCAAAATAACATGGTATAGCCACTGTAAACCAAACATTTACCTTTTGGATTTAGGAGGCTGTCTCTTCTTTATTATTTCATGGAGCCTTGCAGCTGTCTGAAAAGTACACAGAATACAACTTATAGCTTCCTTATAGCTACAGAGCTGACATTTCAAAATATTTTATTAACCTGACAGGAGAAATAGTATCTTAGTTTTAATTAGAAATTTCATACAAACCTCAGACAACTGAAGAGAAGCAAAAAACTTTGCATTTTCTGATATGTTCTTCAATCTCTTCCTTTCATATGGTGACAATCCTGAAAAATCATCCTATAAAATTATATCAAAAGATCCCATTACTTTATATAATCTGCAGTAAATGCACTTCACAAAACTAGGTGTTTTACTCTGTGTGCACCTATTCCTTCAAATTACACCCCTTTCATTCACTGCATGTGATCTTACTAGACAGCAACCATCTCTGCCGCACTAGTGACAGGCTATACTGGGAATCATATACTGGGAATCATTGTAAGATATTTCTATGGCTCCTCAACTACAAGAAGTAACCCATTACCAGGAGTCATATGGTGGGATCTTACAGCAAATTACTTCCTAGTGGCCACTGATGACACTTTTACTCAAAAGTTCAGTTTTTAATAAACAAAAATATTTCTACCAGTGCAGTGGTCCATGCCTGTAATCCAGCACTCTGGGAGACTGTGACAAGAGGATTACAAGTTCAAGCCCACCCTCAGAGACTCAGTGAAAACCTATCTCAAGATCAGAAGCAAGACCTCCCTGCAAATCAGTGCCACACACAGGCTGCTAGGAAAGGCAGCCAGATCCCAGCCTTTTCCCACGAGTCACCACCATTCACAGACTGTGAGAGAAGAGAACTAGAAGTCACCAAGAAGCAAGCTCTCCCTGTGAATGAGCACCACGTGCGGACTGCTGAGGGAACAGCCAGATGCCAGCCCCTTCTGGCACATGGGCTAAGAAACAAGTAGAGTCATACCCACCCCTACCCCAAACCCACCATAAGCGACCAGCTGATGCAGAGAAACATAGGTAGGGGGCTGGGGATTTAGCTCAGCGGCATAAGGGCCTGCCTTGCAAGCAGGCAGTCATGAGTTCGATCCCTGGTACCAATAAAATGAAAAAAAAAACAGAGAAACATAGGCTGCAATAATAACTATTCAGGTAAAATACAACTTAATGCTTGCAATGTTTAGTATTTCATTGGCTTTGCAAGCATAAAGCAGGAAGTCTAGTCATCTATTCAGAGGATAAAAAATGCAATGTAGCATCTATGGAGTATCTCCTAACTGTGTTAGCCATTGTTAGTTCCCTATTATCTTGTTTGGAAGTCCTATATCATTTGCATTGCTTTGCTGGGCTGGGTTTTATTCTGTTGTGCCTTGTTTGATTTTAATATATCCAATGGCATGGGCAGCTATTTCAAAGATAACAAGACGCACTATGGATTTACTATTACCTGTTTTGAAGTCCTTTATTGTATTCATTGTTTTGTTTTTATTGGTTCTATTCTGTTCTGTCTTGTTTGATTTTTACTATGTCTGAAGGTATCTGCAGCAATTTGAAGCCAAGAAAGAGGCATTATGGAAACTATTGCTGACTTCCTATTATTTTGAAGTCCTGTGTTACTTACACTGGTTTGTTTTGATTGACTTTATTGTTTTATTTTGCTTGGTTTTACTCTCTTTAAAATAAAAATTAAAAAAAAAAAAAAGAAAGAAAACCTGTCTCAAAATAAAAACTAGGAAACAGTAGATGTAGCTTCAGTATGAATGAAGCCTTTTGGTTCAATCCACAGTACCAAAATTAACACAACAGGACAAATTTATCACTACTTCCCACTAACATAACACTAAATTAATCAGAAATAGTCTCAGAGATATGAAGAAACAGTATTCCATGGTTTGAATGTGTCCCCTAAACTTCGTATGTTAGAAATTTAGTCCCCAAATTCATGTTAACAATACATGGATGAAAAGCCAGGTGTGGTGGCACACTCCTGTAATCCCAGCACTTGGGAGACTGAGGCAAGAGAATCATTTGCAAGTTCGAGATCAGCCTGGGCTACAAAGTGAGCCCAAGGCCAACCTGAACTGCATAGAAAGACCCTGTCTCAAAAACAAAACGAAAAAAAAATAGTATATGGATGAACAATCTGTGGGAAGTGAGTCATGAAGACTACTCTTCTCAACAGTCTTCTAAAGACCAAGTTTCTCTCCTGTAACTAGGCTGTTAAGTGAATCAGTCTTTAAACGAGGAATTGTATACAATACATACATACAATATTCAGAACAAAGAAACAGCCAAACTCCAATTTGATGACTCTGCTTTCATTTGCGTAACTTATATGCAGTACTATGACATAGAACAGTATTATATAAACAAGGTGTACTGAGCAAAAAAGACATTGAGGCTCTACAAAAAAGATATACAGAACTGTACCAAAAAAAGACATACATCCAAGTGGTAGATCAGTAAGTCTGAACCATATTTGACCAGGTAGATCAATAAAATGAGAAAAATCTGTAATCCAATCATAGATTAACATGGAAAGAAACAGTCAAGCTGATAACTATCATAAACTTGTATACTCTCTCTGGCCATGTGACTTGCACCAGGAAGAGCTTTGCATGCATAGCAAAGGCCAGTGGCGATCTCTTGTATTCTCAGGCTCCAAGACCATGAGCTAAATAAATAAACTTCTGTTCCTTATAAATTACTAGAGATGTGATATCACATACAGTACTATGGGATCTCTCCCAGGAATGCAAAACCTTAGCCTAATCATGAGAAAGTAACAAGCTCAAAATAAAAGACATTATTCAAAAGAACTGTCCAGTATTCTTCAGGTCTAACACACTCTGGAGAAGACTAGAGACCCATTCGAGTAGTAGACAGAAAAATAATGACTAGAAAATCTGGTAAAATCCTAGTAAGTTCTATATTTCCTTTAACAATATTGTACATTGTTAATACATTAATTTGACAAATAGTCTATGGTCCTGTAAGATATTAACCTAAGGGCAGGATAGATGAAGAAGACACAGGAATTGTTTGATTTTTTTTGCAACTCTTTCATAAGCCTAAAACCATCTCAAAATCTATTTAAAAATAGATTTAGCTGGGGCTGGGGCTGGGGATTTAGCTCAGCGGCATAAGCACCTGCCTTGCAAGCAGGCAGCCGTGAGTTCGATCCCCGGTACTGATAAAAAGGAAAAAGACAAAAAAAAAATCTATTTTTTAAAAAAAAGTCACTGCTATCCAGGCATGGTATGCACACTCGTCATCCCAGCACTCTAGGAGGATAAAACAGAAGGATCAAAGTTCAAGCCTAGCCTGAACAAGTTAAGTGACTTACCAAGATCACTTAAAATGTTAAAAATGGGACGGGCCTGGTGGCATATACCTGTAATCCCACCTTTTAGGAGGCTGAAACAGGAGGATCACCATGAGTTTCAACAGCCTGGACTACACAGTGAGTTCAAGGTCATCAAACTATATAGCAAGACCTTGTCTCAAAAATAAATAAATAGGCCAGGGATTTGGCTCAGCAGCATAAGCGCCTGCAAGTGTGAGGTTGTGAGTTCAATTCCTGGTACCACAAAAATAAATAAATAAAAGTAGAAGAAAATAATGAAGGCTGAGAAGTACAGTTCAGTGCCACAGTGCTTGCTTAGCACTCAGGCCAGGTTCAATTCCTATCACATTACCTCATACAAACCTATCTTACAGTCTGTCCCTAAGAGAATGTATCCCACACATTTATGACTTTGACTATCTTCACTGCTGTAGTTTGACCCTATTTCTTTGTATCTGAATAAAATTTGCTTTATATATTCAGAACCTTGCAGCTTAAGGGATTAAAGAGATAATATAATCCAGTGGTTATTTCTGCCCCAGCAGTAGTTTTTACTTTTTTTTTTTTGTACCAGGAATCAAACTCAGGACCTTGCACTCACGGGGCAGATACTATGCCACTATATTCCTCACCCTTCCCAGTGGTTTTCAAAGCACAGGTCAGGGCAAACAGCAGATGTGCCAGTGAATAGAATCCTATTAGACATGCAAATTGTAGACCCCTCCCAACCCCAAAACTTCTGAATCAGAAACTGGTAGTTAGTATGCCTTTGATCTCAGTACCAGGGAGGCTGAGGCAGCAGGATCTCTGTGAGTTCAAGCCCAACCAGTGAGACTTCACCTCAAAAATACAAAAAATAAAATAAAATACATCCTTCCAGGTAATCTGATAGGCTAAATCATAGGCATCATTAATCTGATCCAATCTTCTCATTGAATAAAAAAAAAAAGAATAGGTTTATTAAAGTGACCATGCCTGGAAGTACATGGTCTAAGGCACTTAACGACTAACCCCAAATTCCCCACTGTAGGTCCCAGTTCTTACTTCTGGGACAAGTAAGCAAAAATCAAATACCTACTTCATAACAACTTTTCTATTAGCATACTTCCCTTCCCCTAACTTCATTTGTGTTTCCCTAGTTCTATCAACTTTTTGTCACATCATATGATTTTATCTTGTCTTGTATAAACACAATATTCCTGGTAAGATGTAGAAGCCAACAGAATTAGACACCAGCTGAGCCTAATGGCACAGGCTGCAATGCCAGCACTTTACAAAGTTGAGGTAGGAGGACACAAGTTTGAACTCAGTCTGAGAACCTTAGCAAGACCCTGTGCAAAAATAAAAAACAGCAAGAGACTGGGAATGTGGCTCAGTGCAAAAGTCCTAAGTTCGATTCCCAGTACTATAAAAAATAAAAAATTTACAAAATAAATTTGGGCAATAAAATAATTTGATTTCACTAGAGACCCTTGACAACCTTAGCTTTCAAATTTCAAAACAGTAAGACAACTTGGAGCAAACTACTAATTATACTCTTACCACGCCTAGTGTGATGTCTTCATCACTGCTCTCCATGTCAACACTCAGAACGGTGGCAGCTGAAGGGCTCTTGTGTCCTGGCCTGTTGCTTTCAGTGTGAACATCTAAGGACAATTTTTGCAGTGTGGATTCTACCTTGGAAGGGATGGCTTTCATCTTTGGAATTAAAAGTTCTTCACAAGGCTTCTTTGGTTCAGTCTTCTGACATACCACCTTGTAATTTGAATTCTTTTCTGAGAGAGATTTGGAGTGCTTGAGTTGCTCTAGTTTGTAATCATTGAGGGAGAAGGGGGTAAGATAAACCTTTGCCGTTTTTCCTAAAACTGTAGTCTGTACTGGTCTCAGAGAAGCATAAGTGACATCTTGGTTTTCTTTAAATTCAGTCACCTATTCAGGTCAATAAAGGAAAACAGTGTCAGAATCCCAGCTCCCAAGCCTTTTCCATAAGGTCCTTAACAGTTCTGTGTAAACAATCGGAATCCTGTTTCTCAATGACAACATCATTCAAGTGGATTTAGCTCAGAGGCATAAGCCTTGCCTGCCTGTCAAGCGCCAGATCATGAGTTCAATCCCTGATACCAAAAAAGAAGAAAATCTTCCCCTTCCAAAATCTAGACGCATCATTTATTAACCGAAATGAAATCCCTGATTCTACTGGGCACAGTGATTGCCCACGTGAATTTGCCAAACCTACAGTAATGACGACCATCATCGCGCACGACCTGGTGGCGCCTTACACTGAGAAGCTCAAGCAGAAGGATCGCAGGCAACTCAAGTGACTGAGACCTTGTCTCAAATTTTAAAATAAACACACTGGGCTGTAGCTCCGAGTGAAGATCCTGGATTCAACCCCCTGGAAGGAGAACGCTGCCAAGGCACACAAGACAGGGCAGAAGGGAGGGCCCGAGTCAGTCCTGCCGCTGTCTCTAGCGTTAGGGACAGAGCGGTCCTCAGCGCTACAGGCCTGGTTTTCTGTAGACCACAGGGCTTTCCCCGCAGAAACCTCCCGAAGACAGGACGCCGCCGGCCTCACCTGCGCCAGGGCCCGCACCCCGGAGCCCACCTTCCCCTTGCAGTCCTCGCCAGGCCGCGACATCTCCGTGTCGGCTGAGGCAGAGTTTTCCCGCCAGGAGCGCGCGGGGACTGGCGGGAGAGGGCGGTAGCAAACTCCACGGGGGCGGGGCAGACTGGTCGGAAGAAGGGGGGGAGAGAAAGAGCAGCTGGACCGGAAGGAGGGGCGGGGTCTACGCCTTGGGCCCGGAAGGAGCGGCGGCCTGGCAGCAGGAGCGGAGCGTTTGTTTGGCTGTAGTTAGCCGCCAAAATCGGCGTTCTTACCGTGACTAACAATGGCGGTGCTGGTTTTCACCCGGACATACTGGAGCATGCTTCAAAGGAGAAAATACTGCCATGCAGCGTTAACTTGGGAAAGGCTCAGACACATAGCTGCCTAGGGAAGGGACAAGGAAACCAGTCAACGTGCACTTCACCGACCCTCCATCTTCTTTGTCACCTGCTCCCTGCGGCCACTGCGTTACCTTACCAGACGCGAGAATTTTGGTTTAGTTTTTTTCTTTTGCAATATTTGGGATTGAATGCAGGGCCTTCACAATGACCTACATCCTCACACCTTTTTTATTTTTTGAGACAGGGTCACACTAAGTCATTAAATTGCCCAGCCTGGGCTGAAATGTGCAGGTCTGCCTCAGCCTCCCAGGTGCTGGGAGTATAGGATGTTGCCACTCATCTGGGATGAAAGATACTATCCAGATTTACCTTTAAGGCATTCTCATAGCTTCTTTGGTTCTGAATTGAATTTCCCATTGAAGCTTGCTTAAGACCTACCAATTTCGGGGCTGGAGGTTTAGCTCAGCGGCATAAGCGCCTGCCTTTAGTTCAATCCCCGATACCGATAAAAAGGAAAAAGACAAAAAAAAAAAAAAGACCTACCAATTTCATGGGGGAAGGGAGTGGGTAGGAACACAAGTGAAATCAATTCAATAATAATAATAATAATGAAGAACCAGAAATTTAAAGGTTAAAAACAAGATGCTGTTTCTCAGCTAGAAACAGCACTGGGCCACGTGACTCAGTCCTAACTCAGCCCTGCAGGAAGATCAAAGAAAATATCTGCAGCTGTGATATGCTTGGGCTGTGCTGTGCCAGGAAACTCAGAGATAGAGCCTGCCGATTACGCCAATCAGGGTTGTAGAAACATGTCAAACTCAAGCCGTACAGAAACCAGGTGTCCTAAAGATAAGTTGTGCAGAACAAAGACAGTTAATTAACTCTGACCCGCTGGTCATCCCTTATGAGCTGACCAACCACAAATAGGTAAACTGCTAACTATCCCGCTCTAACTGCTGTGATTGGCTTCTGTAAAAAAACGCTTACATTGCGGTTTTTTCCCCCTTAAAAACACCAGCCTTGTCCCAACTCGGGGTTCTCCGTTTCCACCTGTTTGGAGGACCCGGTGTGCGCGGAACAATAAAGACCCCTTTGTTCTTGCATGAGAACGGAGCCCTTGGGAGTCTCGTTTGCGGCACAGGTCATACAATAATAGCACCTTTAAGGCCTTCCATGACCTGGTACCCATGGAACTTTAACCATTCCTCGACTCAGAAAATAACTTACAAGGTAAGGGATGTGGCTCAGTCGTACAGCACTTGCGTTGCATGCACAAGACCCTGAGTTGGATCCCCTTCACCACCAAAAAAATAAAAAAAATTACTCATTAAACATTTTGCATATTGTTCCGTATATGCCATATTGTTTCTTGGCCTTCAAGACTGGCATGCTAACCCTTCTCATCCACCACAGTTGATAGTCCTTTCTAGCTGCTTGTGGTGGCACACTCCTGTTACAGTGAGTTCAAGGCCACTTGGAATACAAAGGAAGACCTTGTTTCAAAAAACTCCCCCTACCAGCCTGAACTGCATAGTGAAACCCTGTCTGGAAAAGCAAACGGAAAAAATCCCTTCTATGATAAAGTATGTTTTGACTTTCATTTTGCCAATTTTTTTTAACAACCCAGCTATAAATCGGGGCTGTTTCTGCAATTCTACAAGTTGTTAATGACTTCCTAAATTCAAATTTCTTGAGGTCAAGACCCTTAGCGTGCTCTCTTTCTCTCTGTCTCTCTGTCTGTCTCTCTCTCTCTCTCTCTCTCTCTCTCTCTCTCTCTCTCTCTCTCTTCCTGTCTTCTGCCGCCATGAACTGTTGTCCCTCTGCCATGTGCCATGTGGAGCCAGCCAATTATGGATTGAAACCTCTACCAACCATAAATAAAGTTTTTCTCCCTTAACTTGAGGGTGTTAGATATTTTGTCTCAGCAACTAGAGAAAAGTAACACATAATTTGGTACCAGAGGGGCCAGGGATGTAGTTCAGTGCCTCCCTGGCAAGCACCAGATCTTAAGTTCAATTCCCAGTACCCAAAAAGAAAAAGTAAAAATAAAGAATTTGAGAGCTGGGCATGGTGGTGCATGTCTGTAATCCCAGCACTTGGGAGGCTGAGGTAGAAAGATTGCCACAAGTTTGAGGCTGGTCTGGGCTACATAGTGAGCTCAAGGCCAGCCTGAATTAAATAGCAAGTCCCAGTCTCAAGAAATCAAACAAACCAAACCAAAGAAAGAAAGAAAGAATTTGGTAGAGAAAAGTGTAGTCATTGCTGTGACTATACCTAACTATGTGATTTGATGGTTTGTGGGAAGAGTTTGGAAAGGTTTGGAGATGCCCACTGAAGAAGTAGAGCTGGAACACCTTAGGCTGTTCTGAATAGGTGATTTTGGTCAGTGCTCAAAAGACCAGAAAAGCAGTGAAGACCAGCATGCGGAGGTTTCTACTGGGAAGAAGGACTAAATTGGCTGTTAGACTCCAGATAATGTGTGCTATGGATTGGCAGGAAGCTGGTTTGCATTTTGCTCGTGTTCAGAGACTTTACCTGAGACTGAGATTTAGGGCAGCAAACTAATCTGGCAGAAGAAAGGTAAAGGCAAATGTTGAAGTAGTGGCATGGATACTGTTGGTGCCTTTTAGCCAGATTTATGTTGAGAATCAAGAGCAAAGAATGATCTAAAACATTGTGAGTTTGGCCAGAAAGAAACTCCAGTACAGCTGTGGACTACAAAAAATAAAGTAGAGGAGATCTTGATTGCTGAGAAAGAATGGGAGAATAGAAAAGATGGTGTGAGCAGCCAGGCATGGTGGCTCATATCTGTAATCCCAGCACTTGGGAGGCTGAAGCAGGAGGATCGTTGCAAGTTCGAGACCAGCCTGGCCTACAAAGTGAGCTCAAGGCCAGCCTGACCTGCATAGAGAGCCCATGTCTCAAAAAGATAAAAAAAAAAAAAATGGTCTGAAGGCATTACAAGAAGCAACAGGATTCCACCCTTTGCAGCTTCAAAACTGCAAAAATGAAAAAAAAATAAAAAACCAAGTTTGATCCCTGGCACCCCAAAAACAAAACAAAACAAAAACTTCAAAAGTGAAAGATTTTACATTGAGAAGAAAGCCCCAGTGCACCATGTTCTAGAATGGTGGCTGCTGTACTGTGTTCAAAAATGGCAATAGCCTAGAGAATCTGTTCCTCTAATTTGGATTCAGAATGCTAAGCAATACAGACACTCAACTCCTACAACCAAGAGAGAGGGAAGTCTGGATACTGCTCCAGCTGGCAGCAGACCTTGGCATTATCCACATGGTGCTGGTTTTAGGTACATGCAGAATGGATAAGTTGCGGGGTCAAAAAGGCTTCCACCCAGATTTCAGAAGGGCTGGGAGGCCAGGCAGGGTGCCCCTGAGAGAGCAGTATGTGAAGCTGTGAGGGTGAAGCCAAAGGTGCAGTAGAAACCCAGAAGTCTGGAGACGCCACAGACATGAATCATCTGAAGAAAACTGCAAGGATGAAACAGAGGGTGCCTGAGACAGAAGCCATAGGAGCTACAACAATTAGCGGTGCCATAGGGATAGAGACACCCAAACCCTGTGGAATTCAAATCTTGCCACAGAGTGCTTCAGATGCTGCACATGGAACTATAAGACTTTTTTTTTTTTTTTTGTCTTTTTCCTTTTTATCGGTACTGGGGATTGAACTCATGACTGCCTGCTTTCTTTTTTTTTTTTTTTTTTAATTTTTTTTGTCTTTTTCGTTTTTTATCGGTACCAGGAATCGAACTCACGACCACCTGCTTGCAAGGCAGGCGCTTATGCCGCTGAGCTAAATCCTCAGCCCCCTGCCTGCTTTCAAGGCAGGTGCTTATGCCGCTGAGCTAAATCCCCAGCCCAGGTACTATAAGACTTAATGTTGTCTGCTGGGTTTTAAGTTTACTTTGCTCCCATTCTTTTGTATCCCTCTGTATAACTTTTGGAATGGAAATGTCTATCTTGTGCCATTGAATGTTGAAAGTGTTTAACTTTGTTTTCATTTGTACAGGGGCTCATAGCTAAAAGTTTGCCTTACATCGCAGAGGAGACTTGGGACTTTTTGGCAGTGCTGAAACTGTTAAGACTTTGGCAACTCTTAGAGATGGACTAAATACCTTTATCATAAAGGAGTGTATATGAGTCTTTGAAGGGTCAGGGACAGAGTGTTATGATTTGTGTCTGTATGTCCCCACAAAGCCTCATGGAGGGAGGAAGTTTTTCAGGGGCAGCTAAGTCCAGAGTTTGAGATTGATTCATGCTAAGATTAAGGGTATGAGTGCTATACCTGCTATCGGGTGGGGAGCCTGAATACAATACAAAAAAGAGATATAAGAAAGAGATTTGCCCTCTCTTTTTACCTGCTTGCTTTTGCTGTTTTCTGCCACCATGAACTGCTGTCCCTCTGTCATGCCTCGGAGCTAGCCTATCTTGGACTGAAACTTCCACAAACTGTGAGCTATGTAAGTCTTTCGCCCTGTTTAAAAAAAAAAAAAAATATATATATATATATATATATATATATATATCTCCTCCATCATTCTTTCAGAGTCCTAAAAACAATAAACACAAGTACACAGTTATTAGGAAACTAAATACACTTTCCAGCCATAAATGAATTTTAATATGCACCTCCAGAAAATGAAAGACCATGAAAGTTGAAAGTTGGGTGCTAGACCACTGTGTTCTCTGTTGCACCATGGTCCATCTTCATGCTGTAGAGTGTACTTCTTTTCCTCCTTTTACTTGGCCAAAATTGCTCTGCAGAGCCTGTTTTCTAAATAAATGAAAAAGTTTTCTACCAGTTTTCTATCAATAAAAAATAAAAGAAAGTAAGGTACTAGGATTTCAGGTGATTTTTTAGGCCTTTAGGACATTTTTGTTTTGTGTGTATCACTGGCCTAAATCACAACTACCTGCCTTCTGGTGTGCAGCTACCAAATACCACATCCCTGCTAAGAGTAGTCTCATCAAGCGAGCTAATTAAAAAGATTTTTTATTGGTCCCAGGGATCAAACTCACGACTGAGCGCTTGCAAAGCAGGTGCTCATGCCGCTGAGCTAAATCCCCAGCTCTGTTTTTTGTTTCTTTTTTTTCCCTTTTTTTTTTTTTTTTTTTTTTTTTTTTTTTTGTCTTTTTCCTTTTTATCGGTACCAGGGATCCAACTCACGACTGCCTGCTTGCAAAGCAGGCACTTATGCCGCTGAGCTAAATCCCCAGCCCCTGTTTTTTGTTTCTTGAGACAGGGTCTCACTATGTAGCCCAGGCTGGTCTTGAAATCAAAACAACCTTCTTGCCTCAGCCTCTCAAATGCTGGGATTACAAGAATGTGCTATCACACTCACCCTAGAAAAAATTTTATTCCATGAGTTTTCAACAGTCAAGACAAAGTTTTTCACTATTTTCTTGGGTATTTTGGGGTGGTTGTTGTTTTTTAACTGTTTATTTTTGTGATACTGGGGTTCAAACTCAGGACCTAGTACATGAAAGTGCTGTACCATTGAGCTAAGCCCCATCTCTCCTTTTTACTATTGTTAATTTTGAGACAGAATTGTCCTATATACTTCATAGTGGCAGAGACTTTATAATCCTGAGGCTTCAGTCTCACAAGCAGTCGGGATCACAGGCATGCATCTGCCTCTCCTCAATTTTATTCTTTTGTTTTGCTTTAGTGCTGTGATTCTAAACTTGTCCTTTTTGACACAGTGATTGTTTACCACTGAACTACATCCCCAGACCTTTTATTTTTTTGAGACAAGATCTCACTAAATTGCACAGGTGGGACTCGAATTTGAGTCTACTGTTTAAGCAAACTCTGAGCGTTGGGATTATAGACCTCCACAACCGTGCCCGGCTTAACAAGTGAAATCTTTTATTCAAACCTTACTGGCCTCAAAGTTTCTCAATGTCTCACTAGTGAAGCTGAGGACCAGCGGGTTCATAAGAATACGAGTAATAAAAAAAAAAATTAAAAAAAATTAAAAAAAAAAAAAAAGAATACGAGTAATACACTAGACCTTTCAGCAGCTGGAGAGGCGCAGTCTTCCGATATCCCACAATCCTCTAGTCACGTACTTCCGGTTTTTCTAGCTCCGCCCTACGTGGTTCCTATCTGTCGTGCAGCGGTGTCGGAAGCACCTAGTGGGAAAGGAATTTTATTTTCGTCGTACTAGGTATTCAGCCTTTAGAATCCGTCAAGTTTGAGAACTCGTCGCCGCTACCGTCAACATGTCTGTCCCCAGCTCACTCATGAAGCAGCCGCCCATTCAGTCTACGGCTGGAGCCGTCCCAGTCCGCAATGAGAAAGGTACAGTGTTCATCTCTCGAGTAGTCAGATCTTACCTCCTCCTCCAGCCTAGGCACCTGCCTGCCTTTCTTGAGCACTGCTCTAACCCCTCCGACCCCCAGACCCAACCTTCGGTTCCCTCCATCTTCCCAGCCTAAGCTCGCTCCGGGAAGGAGTGCCTACTTGAATCTAATCTTATTCTTAGGGCCTGTCTTCTCTTGTATACAGCAAGCACCCCACTTCCCTTGGTTTCTGCAGATTCTTTAGACATATATAAATACGTCTCTTGCAATGATGTGATAAGTTGCCAAATTATTGAGAGCTAGAGAGCGCTGTGTGGGATACTGCTCCTCTTTTGTTATTCAGAACAGTCTTTTATAACCCTTACCCAACCTTGAACAGTACTTATGTGTTTGTCTCCCCCTACTAGATAATAAATTCCTGCTCTCCTTGAGGCAGGCACTATGTCTTCAACTTTTTGGTCTTTTCAAATGGCACAGTGGTTGTTTATTAAGTTGAATGCAGACTTGTTTAACGCCTCGGCTTTAATAATTTCATATTCTAGTGAGTGAAAAATATGCAGGCTGAGCGTGGTAACCCTAAAAATGTCACTAGTCTGAGACCAGCCTGAATTGTTTTTAAGGAAACATAACTTGTATATAAAATCTTAATAAGAAACCTTGGGGCTGGGGATTTAGCTCAGCGGCATAAGTGCCTGCCTTGCAAGCAGGCAGTCATGAGTTCGATCCTCCGTACCGATAAAAAGGAAAAAGACAAAAAAATTAAAAAGAAACCTTGTAAAATGACAAATAATGAGTCAAAAGAAAAAGAAAACAAATCCCATATTTGCTGAGTGTGTATTTTAATTATAAAACAAGAATATGAACAAAAAAAATTTTTTTTTTCTTTTTGAGATAGGGTCTCACATATGCAGTTCAGGCTGATCTTAGGCTCACTTTGTAGCCCCGGCTGGTCTTGAACTTGCAACAATTATTCTACCTCAGCCTCCCAAGTGCTGGGATTACAGGACTGCGCCACCATGCCTGGCTGAACAAAACATTTTAAAATAATTTCTCAATTATTTGGCAACTCATCACATCATTGCTGGAGACAAATTTGACCTTAAGAAAAGTTTAGTTTTGTGAAAAACTTAAGTTGGACAGTTTTGTTTCTTTGTTTTTTTTTTTTTTTTTGTCTTTTTCGTTTTTATCGGTACCAGGGATCGAACTCACGACTGCCTGCTTGCAAGGCAGGCGCTTTATGCCGGACAGTTTGTTCTTATGGGAGTTAAAACATGTTTTAAAAAGAACCTGGCAGTAAAACTAGCTTCTATCCTGAAATAATCATGTATAAAAACAACATAAAACCCGGAAGCTAAGTAGGTAAGAGTGACCTACTCATTAATGCACTTTGCTTTGCTGAGACAAGATGTGAACCCACTGCTTTCACCCTAAACTGCATCCCCACTCCACTTTTTATTTTGAGACAGAATCTCATTTGCCCAATTAGGTTCAAACTTGCAATCCTGTCTCAGTTTACCAGTGTGCTACATATGTAGGTGTGTGCCACCACACCCAGCTAGTCCTTCTCAAATGTGTCTGGTTAGTACAGTTGTGTGAGAATTTTTTTTAGAGGAGACTCGGAGGAGTTCATAGGCCTATCTACCTGTTGCAAATTGCCCTCTGAAACAAGTTGTAAGAGGATAAGGGTTTCTGTTTCCAATATATTCTCTCACACAGTTGTGTCAGATTTTTAAATGTTTGCACAATCTAAGAAGTATGAAATGTTAGCCCGCTGTTTTAATTTGTGCTTCCCTAATTACTAGTAATGAGAGGCATCTTCATGTGCCTATAAAATCCTCCTCATTTTTTGACTCATCCTTAGCTTTTTTTTTTTTTTAAACAGTAGTAGTTTCATTAAAGATAGGAAACGAAATGGGCTCTTCAGAGAGAGTTTGGGTCAAGTAAAAGTGGGAAAAGAATATACACCCTATAGCATGTAGGTGGGCCACCCTGCAAGAGGGAACAGGGTGCCTTTAACTTAAATTACAAAGTCTTCTACACATTTTCAGTTACAATGTTACTGGATTTATCAACTGTCTTGTAGGAGTAACAGAATAGATTTAAAAGATTTTCCATCTTCTAATTAATATATTTAAATAAGACTGAATACAAGAGAAGTTTACAGTCCAATAAGAATATAAATATTTAAGATATATTTTTCACCTTTAGCCTTTCATCTATCTGTAATTATTTCTTCTGTATGGTAGAAGTTACAGGTCTAATTTGACTATTTACTAACTGTTGGTCAACTCTCTCTTCCCTGTCAACTGATGTTTTTGTACATTGTTTTAAGAAACAGCCTCACTCTGAACTCCTGGGCTTAAGCAATCCTCCTTCCTCAACCTACTAGCCCAGCTGCCAACACTCAGCTCCCCATTTGTAAAACAGAATGCTCTCATTGTTTATCATTGAGTACAAGTTGAGCACTCTACTCCCAAAACCTGAAATTGGCTCCAACATGATGTTCATAAAGTTTCAGATTTGGATTTTCTGATTAGAGATACTCAACTGGTAAAGTCAATATAAATATTCCAAAAACTAAAAAAAAAAGCCTGCAAAATCAGAGATATTTCTGCTCCCAGTCAAGCATTTAGATATGGAATAGTCACCCTACATGTTTACCACCAGGTGTGGTAGCACATGCCTATAATCCCAGCACTCAGGAGGCTGAGGCAGAAGAATCACTGTGAGTTTGAAGCCAGCCTAAGCTACATAAGACCTTGTCCCAAAAGTCCAAGCCAAAAAAATTTTCTTTTTGCTATATCTGTTGTTAAGATTATATGACTTTTAAAAATAGCACATTGTCCTGTCCTGCCCATTAATTTTTTTTTTTTTGAGACACAGTCTCACCATGTTGTGCAGGCTGGCTTTAAACTCATGGACTTCTGCCTCAGTCTAATGTTAAGCCATTCTTTTGCTGTTATCAAGAAATTAAGCAATAACAAATACTGGAGGAGCTGTGGGGAAAAAGGAACCCTTTTCCACTGTCAGTGGAAATGCAGACTGGTGCAACCACTGTGGAAATCAGTGTGGAGATTCCTCAAAAACTAGGATTACAAATCCTGTTCAACCCAGCTATTCCCCTTCTGGGTATCTTCCTCTTTTTTTTTTTTTTTTTTTTTTGTCTTTTTCCTTTTTATTGGTACCGGGGATCGAACTCACAGACTGCCAGCTTGCAAGGCAGGCATTTATGCCGCTGAGCTAAATCCCCAGCCCCCCTGGGTATCTTCCTAAAAGAATTAAAAACATCATACCACAACACCAATGTTTATAGCAGCACAATTTGTAATAGCTAGATCTTAGAAACAGCCTAACTGCTTATCAACTGAGGAATGGATTTAAAAGGTGGTATTTTTATACACTGGAGTACTACTCTGCATAAAGAAGGTTAAACTAAGGACTTTGATAGGTAAATGGATGCAACTAGAGATCATACTCGTAAGTGAAATAAATAAGACACACGTGTAAACATTGTATTGTCTCACTAGTGTGAGATGCTGAAACAAACAACATATGTATATGTGTGTATATGTATCTATATGAAAATAGTTAAGATAGTTAAAAATAATAATAATGTTAAGCCATTCTTGAAATGCTTGGGGCTGGGGATATAGCTCAGTGGCACAGTGCCTGTGTGGCAAGCATAAGGTTGTGAATTCAATTTCCGGTGCCAAAAAAAGAGAAAGAAATCCTGGGCTTAAGTTTATAGGATAATGATAATGAAGTTTGTGTGTGTACGTTTTCAAGATTTGGGGGGAGTTTTCTTGTTAATTTTTGCCTTATTGAAATAAATTTGTTACTATTTAGTATTTTTGTTTGTTTGATTTTTGTTTTGTTTTTTTTGAGACAGGGTCTCATGCAGTTCAGGTTGACCATGAGCTCACTTTATAGCCCAGGCTGGTCTTGAACTTGCAATGATCCTCCAGCCTCAGCCTCCTGAGTGCTGGCATTACAGGAGTGTGCCATCACGCCTGGCTGGTGTTTTTGTATATGTATATATTCATAAGTGAAATCCATCCAGAGGTTTCCTTTGAACTGTCCATTTTGGTTATAATAGTTTATTCATCCTATAAAATGAGTTGCTTGGTTTTTTACTTTATTTGCTGCATTTCTTTCTTTATCTTTGTCTTTTCTTTTTCTTTCTCCCCCCCCCCCCCCGTGATTCTGTAAACTGATCCTAGGTCTTTCACACCAACCTACACCCCCAGTATTTTTTTATTTTGTGACAGTATCTCACTAAATCTCTTAAATTACCCAGGAGGGGTTTGAACTTTTTTTTTTTGTGAGAGAGAGTCTCACAAAATATAGTTCAGGCTGGCTTTGAACTCACAGCAATCCTCCTGCCCCCTAGTGCTGGGACTACAGGCATTCCACACCACACCTGGCCTTTTTTTTCTTTCCATCCTTCTGTCTCAGTCATGTGCTGGGATTACAAGTGTGCACCACTAGGCCCAGCCTGAACGTTTGTATTTGTAAAAAGAGATTATCTATTCTCTATTATTAGATTACTAGATTATCTATTACATCTATAATTTAATAGCACAAAAGCTAAAGAAAAACCCATTTCTAAATAAATGAGTTATGTGGTTATATAAAGGCTGCCATGAAAATTACAAAGGGAAGCAAAAGAATGGCTAAGCAGTATTTTAGACTAATCACCCTTTCAATTTTTGTTAAGCATTATTACAAGTTATTTAAGAGTATAGGGGCTGGGGATTTAGCTCAGCGGCATAAGCTCCTGCCTTGCAAGCAGGCAGTCATGAGTTTGATCCCCAGTACCGATAAAAAGGAAAAAGCCCCCCAAAAAAAGAGTATAGCTGAAGCAAAATAGCATGAACTGATGGCAGAGTGAGGGCTTTTTTTTTACAGTTTTACTGCTCACTAGCTTCCACTTCACTGTACACAGTAAGCCTCAGTGTCATTAGTGTTGCTGTTCACAAGAATGCCTTCCATGCATTGGCCTTTGTAGGAAAGCACTGTTGATAGGTGGTTGGATAATGGCTCTCCTAGCATGTTTAAATACTTGTCTAACAGGAATACAGACCCTACCTGCAAAGCCCAACATTGGGGCCGGGCATGGTGGTACATTCCTGTAATCGCAGCACTGGGGAAGCTGAGGCAGAAGGATCATTGCAAGTTTGAGTCCAGCCTGGGCTACAAAGTGAGCCCAAGGCCAGCCTGAACTGCATAACGAGATCCTGTGTCAAAAGGAAAAAAAAAAAGAGGCTACTGAAACACAAAATTATCTTTCTTGCCCAGGTGAGATTTCCATGGAGAAAGTGAAGGTAAAACGTTATGTGTCTGGAAAGAGGCCAGATTATGCTCCTATGGAGTCATCAGATGAAGAAGATGAAGAATTTCAGTTTATTAAGAAGGCCAAAGAACAAGAAGCAGAACCTGAGGAGCAAGAAGAGGATTCCTCTAGTGACCCCCGGCTGCGGCGCTTACAGAATCGGATTAGTGAAGATGTAGAGGAGAGGTAATGACTGCCATTATGTTTCTGTGGATCTGAATGTCTACATAGCAACAGCAGCAGTAATAGTTAACACCTTAACAGTTCTTACTGTATGCCAGCTATTCTGTTCTGAGTATATTGCGTTTACTATTTCTTATGCACACGATACACTTATGAGAGAGGTACTACTATCCTCACTTTACAAATGAGAGAACCAAAGCATAAAGGGTAGAGAGGCAACAAGGCATGAAGACTTAGAGGGAGATCTTTAGACAGGTGAGGGGTGTAGTTTTATGCTAAGGCCCTGGGTTCACTCCCTAGAACCACCAAAAAAAAAAAAAAAGAGAGAGAGAGAGAAAGAAAGAAAAGAAAAGAAAAATTCCAGAGACTGGGGATACAGCTCAGTAGTAGTGTTTGCCTAATGTGCAGAAAGCCCTGGATTCCATCCCTGTGCCTCTGCCCTGTGAGTTCGCTGTGTACCACTGGATGGTGTGTACACATTTGTTTAATGTTTTAGGCTTAATTTATCGACTTTCTCTGATGCCCTAGTTTAGTTTCTTTAATTTGTACCTCAATTTCTCCACTTCAAGACTTTTCCATGAGTGAGGCAAATAGGCTGATGATGTACTACTGTAAGGGTTTTCTGCAACTAAAGAAAGGCACCTAATTTTCCTTCATTTGTGTGACTTGTGTTAAACTTGGACATCCTGTTTTTCAGATTGGCTCGACATCGAAAAATAGTGGAACCTGAAGTGGTAGGAGAAAGTGACTCAGAGGTAGAAGGAGATGCTTGGCGCATGGAACGAGAAGATAGCAGTGAAGAAGAAGAGGAAGAGATTGATGATGAGGTGTGGTATAGGGAAATTTTTTAAGTGGAAAGGGTTTTTTTTTTTTGGTACCTGGGATTGAACTTAGAACCTCACGCTTGCCAGGCAAGTGTTTATGCTGCTGAGCCAAACCCCAGGCCCAATTGGAAAGGATTTTTTATTTTTATTTTTTTTACATACAAAAAAATTGGGAGCCATACTCATTCCTAGAGGCCATAAAAGCACAAGGTCACTTCATTTGGCAGAACTCTAATCATGTGCCCTGTTTGGGGGGATAGGACTGAAAATAAAATAATACTAAGCTATACTTACTTTAGAATTTGTTGGGTTTGATGAAAGAACAATAGACCAGTGTAGTGGCACATGCTTATAATCTCAGCACCTGGGCGGCTGAGGCAGGATCACTGTAAGTTTGAGGCCAGCCTGGGCTACATAGTTCAAGGCCAGCCTGAACTACATAGTGGAAACCCTGTCTCAAAAAGACAAGAGGGGGCGGGAAGAGAGGGGAAGGTAAGGAAGGAGAGCCATCTTAGGGCAGGGAGTGTGGTTCGGTAGTAGAGATTCAATTACCTGCACCATCTAAAGGCCATCTGAGAACCCAGACCATTGAAACAACTGGTTTCAATGTATACCTGGACAGGAAATAGAGAGGCGCCGTGGCATGATGCGTCAGCGAGCACAGGAAAGAAAAAACGAAGAGATGGAGGTCATGGAAGTGGAGGATGAGGGACGTTCTGGAGAAGAATCAGAATCAGAGTCTGAATATGAAGAGTACACAGACAGCGAAGATGAGATGGAGCCTCGCCTTAAGCCAGTCTTCATTCGAAAGTAGGTGTTTCACAAAGCAGGTCAGAATCTCATAGATACTACTCTCTAGGGCAATAGCTTAAGCCTCTTTCTGTCCTGTGTTTTTCTGAAATGTAGGCCCTAAGTGAAAATGCCCATTGCCTTTGCCCTGCAGTGTAGATGCTAAGGAGTAACTTTTTAGCAGAAAGCTTTCCTTTCTTTTTTTTTTTTAACCCCATTCGATTCCATGGGAAAGCTTTCCTTTCTAATTAAGAGCACCTTAGATTAAGAGCCCAAGATTGCATATTTCAAAAACAAAATGAAGCTTGAAGAACAAATCTTATTTCTTTCCTAATGGCTAGAATTGCAAGCATGTTCCCACCTATGTAGATTTTTCTCAAAGATGAATGGGCCCTGAAAACCTGGGATGGACCAGGTGTGATACCACATGTTCATGATCCTGGCACTTTGGGAGGCTGAGGCAGGAGTGTCACAAGTTTGAGCCCCACCTGAACTTCTTGGCAACTTAGCAAAACCTGTCTCAAAACAAAACAAAAAAAACCAGAAAAGGTTAGGTCCTGGGTCTAACCTGCAGCACCCCAAATACATACACACATATACACATATACATATACATATACATATACATATACATATACATATACATATACATTTATCTACCTACCTGGGATGAGTCCTATTTTTGGTTGTTTGCAAATAATAGGACCAAAGATTGTTTGGCTTTGGATGAGACTAGATCTGGAGAGATAAAGAACTCCATTCTTAGGCTTTGGGCAGTTAACAGTACTTCTGTGATGCAGGAAGGACCGAGTGACTGTTCAAGAACGCGAGGCTGAAGCATTAAAGCAGAAGGAGCTGGAACAGGAAGCCAGACGCATGGCTGAGGAGAGGCGCAAGTACACACTCAAGGTGCAGCGTGTTGTGAGGCTTGGGTGGGGAGAGTAGTGTCCTTAGGTTGGTCTGCAAAGATGAAGTCTGACAGTTGAATTGTGCTCCTTGCCCAGATTGTAGAAGAGGAGACCAAAAAAGAGCTGGAAGAGAACAAGCGGTCACTGGCTGCACTGGATGCTCTTAATACTGACGATGAAAATGATGAGGAAGAGTATGAAGCATGGAAGGTTCGAGAGCTTAAGAGAATCAAGAGAGACAGAGAAGACCGAGAAGCGTGAGTACAGGGTGGTCTGCAGTTAATGATGCCAACAGGACAGGTTTCTGGGAAGGGAGCTCTGAAGCCCAGCCTCTACTCTGAGTTCTATTTTTGGTTTTGTTGTTTTGGTTAGCTGACTTACAGTTTTTGTTTTTTGTGGTGCTGGAGATCAAGGTCAGGGTCTCATCCTTGCCAGGCGCTCTACCACTGAGCCACATCTCCAGCCCTATTCCAGGTTTGTTTGGTTTTTTTTTTTTTTTTTTTTTTTTGTCTTTTTCATTTTTGTATCGGTACCAGGGATCGAACTCACTACTGCACACTTGCAAGGCAGGCGCTTATGCCACTGAGCTAAATCCCCTGCCCCTCTATTCCAGGTTTTTGTTTCTGTGCAACTGGGGACTGATTCTAAGGAGGTGGAATTGTGTTATTTTCAGGTAATTACCTATGAAAAATACTAATAAATGGTTTTGCTCCCTTGACAGGCTTGAAAAGGAGAAAGCAGAAATTGAACGCATGAGAAATCTTACTGAGGAAGAAAGGAGAGCTGAGCTTCGGGCAAATGGCAAAGTCATTACCAACAAAGCTGTTAAAGGCAAATACAAGTTTTTACAGAAGTACTATCATCGGGGTGCTTTCTTCATGGTAAGTGAATAAAAAAGTTGGACAGCAGGAATAACTCTAAAGCTTCGAATTCTTTTCTCCCTTAGAATGAGAATAAACTGGCCTGAAGTGTTCATTTGCAATAGCAATGGTCAAGCTTCTCCTTTGCTTTTTGCCTCAGAAGAGTATAAATCCAGGACCAGGGATTTAGCTTAGTGGCTTAAGTGCCTGCCTAGCAAGTGCGAGATTGTGAGTTTGATCTCCGATACAAAAAAAAAAAAAAAAAAAAAAAGAATATAAACCAAAAGGAGAGGGGGAAAAAACAAAGAAAAGCATTAGCAGGCCAGGAATTTAGCACAGTGGCTCAAGCACTTGCCTGGTAAGTGCAAAGTTGTGAATTTAATCCTCAGTACCAAAAAAGAAAAAGCATTAGCAACTGGATTTTGGCAATAACAACAACAATTCTGTTTTGGCCTCAGCTCTCTAAATAGGAAATGACGTAGTAGAATTGTGCAAGTGGAATGGTATCTTCATAGGTACTAAACTACTTTAGGCTCAAAAAAAAGTACTTACAAATCATACTTAATAGAATTTTGGTTACATAAAAATCAAAACTCTGCCAGGTGTGGTGATACACACTTGTAATCCCAGCACTCAGGAAGTCAAGGCAGGAGAATTGCTTTGAGTTTGAGGCCAGCCTGGGCTACAAAGGAAGTTGAACTGCATAGTGAAAACAAGCGTTGTATACTAAACCCTAAATATCCTCACTGCTACTAAATTCCTGTCCTTCACTGCAAATTCTGGTAAAATTTTGAAACTTCAATAGAAGTTCCCTTTTACCCTCCAAAGTCTGTATATCTACTTGAACAGTATAAAATGTTTGCCTGTTTTCTAGTACATACAGTTTTGCTAGAGTCAGTGCAGATGATGATACTTTCTATACTGCTTCAAAGTCATAGAGGTCTTTTTGCTTAAACATTTCAGCAGCTTTAATAATCAAGTTTCTTAGCAGTGCATTGCTGGCTAAGATACGTAAGGAAGTAGGTATGTGAGAGTCTTTGGATGCATATATTGAAATACTCTTCTGTGGTCAAGGAAATTGAAATACCTTCAGGGTTATAAATGAAGGATTTTTCAGGCTCTGAAGAAAAACATGGATTTCATAAAACTGTTTTAATAGTCCTTGAAACTAGGCCTTTCTCCTGGAAGGGAAAGAGTACCAAAAATGTGGTTAAAGGACTTAGCTCTTCTATGCAGGCTCTTAACCAGATAGTGCTATTCTTAATTCCTTTAGCATGTATGTCAGTAATATATTTTGTACCAACATGTTGACTTAAAACTATTCCTATAGGTATTTCATATTTCATTAAGTGAATAACTTTTTGTGAATTTACCGCATAAAAGGCACTGTTTACCACTGCTAGAGGATACAGAATCCCCGCTTTCAAGGGGCTTAGAATCTAAAAGTGGGGCTAAGGCATAGATACACTGTAAGAAAGAATCAAGGTATGCAGAGGGGGTGTTAATATTTGGAAATTGAAAAGAATAACTTAGAAGAGGAAACATTTAAGATGGGTAGATTCACTGGGATAAAAGTGAACCTAGCAGCAGGAGTGGAGGCCAACATTATAAGCTGTACAGAGAAGTAGCAGGGAGCACTAAAAAGTGGCATTTGGTCTTATTTGTGTTTAAGAAAATAAGGATCCACTAAAGTTTTTGAGAAAGGCAAAAATATGAGATATCTTAGAAACATTAATACATTAAAACATTAAAAACTATTTCTGATATAGGGAAAATAATTCAGGTGATGAGAACTTACAGGGTGATAGTTGAATAAATATAGGAGTTACTCAGATTGTACTTGGAGAGAATTTGGTCTACTTACAAAAAAAATTAAATCAGAAAAGCTAATTTGAAAAGGTTGAGATGATTGTCATTTTACGTGTATTTATTTAAAGTACCAGTAGAATATCTACATTAAGATATGTAAATGACAGAACAGGAGTAAAGATATGAAACTCCTATAGTCAGAATCACACAAGTAATAAGCAGAGAAAGTGCAGAGAATAAACTTACCTTCAGGAAGTGTCTACGCTCAGAAAGGAGAAATGGTAAACCCAGTCAGAGATGTAACCTCAACCAGATGTAAGCTCTTGAAGAAAGGCCCAGTACCCTCTGATTTCTAGTATTCTATTATAGAGCTTAATAAATTAAATATATGGGAAATAGTGCCACAAGCCTGATAAGATGATTTTCCACAGGATGAAGATGAAGAAGTATACAAGAGAGATTTCAGTGCACCTACCCTGGAGGATCATTTCAACAAAACCATTCTTCCTAAAGTCATGCAGGTATGGGAATCCTTGATAACACAAGGGGAGGAAAAAACAAAACATAATATACTGAACTGAGGCTGAGGTGTGGTGTGTTGGGTGATATAACTTATCCATTCTTCCTTCAGGTCAAGAACTTTGGACGTTCTGGTCGCACCAAATACACCCACCTTGTGGACCAAGACACTACCTCCTTTGACTCAGCCTGGGGCCAAGAGAGTGCACAGAATACAAAGTTCTTTAAACAGAAGGCAGCAGGGGTACGGGATGTATTTGAGCGACCGTCTGCCAAGAAGCGGAAAACTACCTAAGATTCAGCCACTTCTTCCACTCTTGGACACAGGAGAGAGTCGCAGCATTTGGTCCTTGATTTTCTTTCTCCATTATGTACATGGTCCCAGTATGCAGCTGACTGAACTGACTGGCATACTTGCGTCCCCAGGGGGCTCTGTTTTTGAAGGTGCTTTTTGACATTTGGACTCATATCAGAAACTTGTTTTTGAAGGGAGAGAAAAAAAGCACTATCTAGATAGAACTAGAGGCTTCCCACTTAAAACAATTTCTGAGAAATCCTAGATTTCTTCACTGTGGCTTCCCATATTTACTTGGGATTGTTAGGAATTTCTTTTTCCAGCCCAATAGCTCAAGTTAGAAATGTGGGCATGTAAGTGGACAATGTGTTACTTCTACCTTAGGGTTAGAAAGCATATGTCAGGAAATCTGAGCTATTTGAAACCTGTTTTACATTGTCAGAGTCAACTTTTCTAAGTAAACATATTTTTGATCCATTTATGTGTGTATCAAGAAATAAAATTACAAACCAGGTTAATTTTTCTTTATTTTATATCCAAATTATAGAATCCTTATTGTTTTAAAATACTATACAAAAAAAACAAAAACAAAAACAAACCCTACTGTGTATCCTAACAGATCCACAGATGATCCAAATTAAATGTATTTTTTCTGTATTTCAATAATTTGAGATGCTAGGATAATCCAGTTAAATCCAGTTACTTTCATTTCTTACTTTGAACTCGTAAGTTTATTTCAAACAAACTCCATAATTTGTGTAAGGAGATAGTTTCTTCTGTTAAATTTCTTTTTTTTTTTTTTTTTTTTTTTTTTGGTGGTACTGCGGGTTGAACTCATGACCTTGTGCTTGCCAGGCAGGCACTTATGCCACTGAGCTAAATCCCCAGCCCCTCTTCTGTTAAATTTCGTGCTCCTTAAATTTCAGATTTTGGCAGGAGTGGTAGCTTATGTCTTTAATCTTAGTTCTCGGCAGGCCAAGGCAGGCTTGCCATGAGCTCAAGGTCAGCCTGCGTTGCATAGTGAATTCAAAGCCACCCTGAACTACAGGGAAAGTCTAAAACAAAAAACAAAAAAACCTCCAAACCTGAGATTTCATAACTGTAAAGATTTCTCTCCTGTTTTATTACAATGTTAGAACAGTAAAAGTAGTCAGGGTTACTTTCTGATTCGTAATCAGTTTCAAAATTCCTAAGTATCTGTGAATTCATAAAACCAAATCTGCCACAGAGAACACTGATAATATTTCTAAATTCATCCTCCTTTAAAAGGTAGAACATTATATAATAGATTGTTTTAAATTAGGATAGTATCATTGGCACATGCCTGTAATAGCACTGAGAAGGCTGAGGCAGGAGGATGGCCATGAATTCAAGGCCAGGTTGTACCACATACTGAAATCTTGTCTCAAAAAATAAAAAAATAAAAATAAGGAAACTAGGAAAAAGTTTTCCCCTTTCTTCCTATACAGCCATTCGTGTATCTAGACAGAACTACCCCACTTCCCATGCTCATTTTTATCGTTTTTTCTTAATGGTGGAAAACCAGATTTGAAGATACTTCTTTTACTTAGAGGTTGCCATTGTTGAAACAGGTACAGGACAGGATATCCAAGAAATAATATGATGGAGAGATGTTGGAACAACTAAAAAAAAAATGCGGTAGAAAAAATTAACAGCTATATTGGATATCCAAACATTTCTACAAAGTGCAAATCTCAAAAGATCTATTCCTCTGAGACAAAACCAGTAACTTTTGCCTTATGCCAATAGGAAATTATTCAAGATGTTAGTCTGATTCCATTAAGCAATGATTTAAATTTGATGGCAAAATACTGTTTTTAAAGTATAGACATTGGATGACTTTTCCAGACCACCGGCCTCAAATACTGAGACCTACTGATATGCAACACTTATTAAACATTGTACAGGTAATACAGCAGTTTCAGTTGCATCCAAGGTGCTAAAATGACAGCATGTCATTTTATAACAGTCAACATTGTGGCTTTTCAAATTTGGTTTTCTGCATTTATCTTCAGGTAAATCTAGTCATGCCTTTAACAATTGCTTTAGAGGGGCTGGGGATTTAGCTCTGCGGCATAAGCGCCTGCCTTGTAAGCAGGCAGTCATGAGTTTGATCCCTGGTACCAATAAAAACGAAAAAGACAAAAAATTTCATTGAACAATTGCTTTAGAGCCAGGCATGGTGGCATACCCCTGTAATCCAAGTACTCAGGAGGCTGAGGCAAGAGGACCACTGCAGGTTTGAGGCCCACCTGGCCGATAGAGTGAGTCTAGGCCAGCCTGAACTACATAGTAAAGTCTTGTCTTAAAAAGACCAGGGTGTTTGCACATCCTTAAAACACCCTACTGGAAGAATCATCCTTAAACCATTTTAGTGCCCAAACAAAAGTACGAGGACAAGCTGGGTTGGGTCACAGGTGTAATTTTCACACTAAGGAAACTAAAGCAGGGCTGCCACAAGTTTGAAGCCACCTTGGGCTATACAGTGAGTTCATGCTTGTCCTAGAATATGTGGCAAAATCCTATCTCAAGAAAAAAAAAAATTATTCTAAGTTGGTATCACTAAAGCCAGGTATAGTGATGCATGTTTGTAATCCCAGCACTTGGGAGGCTGAGGAAGGACTGCCTCTAGTTTGGAGCCAGCCTGAGCTACGTAGTGAGTTGAAGGTTATCTTAAACAACATAGCAAAAAACCAGAAACAAAAAAGATCTTGCTGGGCTGACGGGTTTAGCTCAGTGGTACAAGCCCCTGCCTAGCAAGTATGAGTTCAATCCCCAGTACCAAAAAAAAAAAAGATCTCATTGAAATGCACCAAACTGGAGTTTGTAATCCTCTGACCTCAGGCTTAATAGCTGGGTTCACAGATATGTGACACCACAACCAGCTAAGGCCTTGTAACTCTTTAGGAAAGTATAGATCCCACTTGTCTATTCTGAGGAAAGTAGCCAGGCTTTTTGCATTTGCCAGGTCATCAACTTTTATAATTTATTAAGTAGTTATTTCATAGTAGACAAACTCAGCAAATGTGACCTGGGCAAAGTTGAACTTTTAAAAGCAAAATTATTGTTCTACAATAGGATATAGAATTGACAATGTGTTATGGTATAGAATTAAATTCTTTCATCAATTCTTCCTGCCTTTCATTTAATTAGGTTTAAAAATAATCTTTGGCAGAGTGGAGTGATGCACTCTTGTGTAAAGGAAATTTTAAAACTTGTAAATCTGCCACTATATTCAAGGGTGAACAAAAGGCAGCCTGTCCCCCTAAGGAGAGAATAGTAAAATTCAGCTAGCCATGGCATTCTAGTGCCAGCTGCAATACGTAAGTTAAGTGTAACTCAGAAGTGCACAGCTCAGCTCAGTGTAAGATGACTGAAGCCTCCTGCTCACCCTAGCCTTTACCTTCCAACCATCAGATAGAAAGTCAATTAACTTGCCTGAATCAAACCTGCCTAGGAGCATAAGATAATATGTAACCAAGTATAAAAAGTCCTGGGCCAGGGATATAACTTAGTGGTACGGTACCTTCCTGGCAAGCCTGATTGAGGTGGTGAGTTAAACTTCAGGTCCAAAAAAAAAAAAAAAAAAAATCCTGTTAACAGACTGCTTCTTGCTATTTTTTTTTAAATTTCCCATTTAAAAACTTGTGTTTTATTAACTCCCAATATGGGACTGATGATTTGGAACTGAGATTCCCATCAGTCCACTGGTGTAAACAAAGTCGGTTCCTTCCCAAGTTCTTCAGTGCTAAGTGTCTTGCATCTGGCTTGGTCCATTTTCCCACAACTATAATCCCAGCACTAAGGAGGCTGAAACAGGAGGACTGCCATAAATATGAGCCAGCTTGGGCTTCATAGTGAGCCCACGGCCAGCCTAAATGAACTAACTACATAGCAAGACCTTCCCTAAAAAAAAAAAAAAAATCAAAAATAACCTTTGAGCTAGGCAAGACGGTGCATACTACAATCCAGTATCCTGGGAAGGTGAGGCAGAATTGCAGGTTGCAGTCCAGCCTGGGCACCTCAGGAAGATGCTGTGACAAAATGAGAAAAAATGAATGTAGCTGTGTGTAAAGGTTGTGGTTTCAATCCCCAATACCACCAAAACAAAAAACAATCTTTGGTATCTGTATTATTACCATGTTCCCATGTGTAACACTTAACTCTGGTGGCCTATGAACTGGGCTGGCAACTTGTGTCTGTTGCCACGGTTCACTGTAGCTCCTGGGTAAGTGCTGGCCTTTCAGGTGTTCCTAAGCTATCCTGGACACACTGGTAATTGGGTGCAGTAACTAGGGAGACTCCAAACATAGTTTGAAGGCTGTTGAGAGCCAGCCTGATATCTAGAGTATGCACCTTGAAAGAACTTTTTTATAATGAGCATAGGTTTATTATGGGTTGTGGAAGCGAGAATCATTTAAGTTACACTTCAAATTCCTACAGCAAAATATATAAAGCCTTGATCCAAGATAATAAAACTGCAAAAGAAAAAAATCTTTATTGCAATAAGTTAGTACAGAAGACATGTCTGAAAAAGCCTCAATCAGTTGGTTAGGGCAATGAGAGCCTCCACCACGTTGCCCATGTGCTCCCGCAAGCTCCTTTCCGCAGCTGCTCGGGAAATCTCCATCTCTGACATCTGTAAGACAAGGATCCACCCGGTTACCTCGCCTCCTTTCTAGCACTAATGTGCCACTAAACTTCTGACTCCACCTATGTAAGCAAACAATCCAAATTAACCGGAACAACTTCCCCTCCCCATAAACTAGTGCTACTCACTATCAACTCCAGATCTTCCTTCTTGATAGTGACCTTTGCCAGTTCCTTCTCCCTGCAAAATGTTATGTACATGAGCCCTTGTATTCCACCTCCACAAGGTCTTGGTCCCTTGAAAATAAGTGAATCCTGCTGACAAAGGATTTCAACTAACATCCCCGTGCTTCCCCCTAGAGGCTTTAAATAGCAAGTGTCACCAAAAGGCGTTGCTTACACTAAAAGTTAAGGTCCAGATCTGCAGGAACCAGTGAGGGGCAGAACGGTACTAATGGTAAAGGATGGCCTTTATTTCTGTTTGGGGGCTCGTTCAGTGGCTGCAGACTTACCGCTCCTGTCGGGCCTTCTGCTCCCGGGACCGCCTGTCTCCGATGACGGACATCGCCTACGGAAACACCCCTGTCACTTCAGGGCGGGTCCTGAGCAGCTCTCCTGCACTCGGACCACACGGCTCTTCACCAGGCTCTTCCTAGGGCCGCGGTCCTCCTGCCTCCGCATCTGGGACCCGCACCCAAGCCCGAACGCGAGGTTCCAGCCACAGGCACGGACGCTCCAGCAACCTCACCGTCTCCAAATTGGAGCTCTGGATCTCCTTCTCTTCTGCATAGTCGGTGACCCGCTCTAGGTCCGCCGCCCCGCTGTCATGCTTCCGTGGTTTCTCCGGGGGCCGCTCCGGACAGCTGGTCTCAGTTTCCAACTCTAGCTCCACGTCCCCTTCAGTAGCCATATCTTCCTCGCCCCGACAGCACACGGGCCACGCTGATCAGCAACTTCCGGGACCGCACTTCCGCCCGGGCAGGGGCGGGGCCAGCATCAGGCCGGTCTCCCCAGTGGCCGGGTTCTAGAAGCTTCAGCGGGGATGGGGGCGCTTCTTGTACTTCCTTGAGGACTGTAGTGTTTTCCGGAAAGCGTTCTAGCCCTAACTGTCTCACTTCCAAACCACCCAGGCCTCTTTCCTGGCTTTTTACCTAGGGACAATTTCACCAGGCATACACCAAGGAATTTGTGCAAAAGGGATGGGTGCTATCTAATCCTAAATCCATTAAAACGCTAATCCCCAGGCCAGCTGTGCAAATCGCCCTTCAGGGAGCCCTCAGAGACATCGCACCTCGTGGCCTTGTGGCGTCTGCTTCGGGGGCAACAGGGATGGTGGGTTGACACCACCAGGCGCAGTCCTCATCTGCTCCCAGTTGGCGCCCCTTCGTCTGAGGGGCACAGCGTTGGTGAGTGCAGGGCCAGGGCTGACACTGCAGATAGGCTGAAAGCTCCCTAAAGTAAAGGACTGTTTCAAAAGTGAGTAAACAAACAGCTAACAGCTGGGAAGGAAGGAGCTGGGGATTTAGCTCAGCGGCATAAGCACCTGCCTTACAAGCAAGCGGTGGTGAGTTCAATCCCCAGTACCCATTAAAAAAAAAAAAAAGCTGGGAAGGAAAACCTGCAGGGGCCAACGAAGCCAGGCCATCTCTTAGCTGCCCTTCAGGGTTTTGGCTTCAGTGAATGTTCAGCTCTCCTCCCATGTTTTGGTAGGTAAAGGCTGATAGCTTAACCCCTGCACTTAAGCCCTTAGCTCTCAAAGGATTCTGAGGATCCTTGACTAAGTGAAAAGGAAAAATTCTGGAATTCAGTCTCTTAAGTCAACCTCACACATACTGTTAACCTTTCCTCGGCAAATCTCCACCTGCCTGCCCTGTATCTGATTTCCGCCAGGTGTCCTTGTGTGGGCCTGTTCCTTGTGCCAACTGCTGCCACCTCAGCCACCTGTTGTATACCCTCAAGGCAACTTCCAGCCTGCTGCCTCCTGCTGCCAAGGGCAGTGGTGCAAAGGCACTGGTGGGCAAGGGACAGGCATAAATGGGAAGAGGTGGGTTGCAAAGTGGGAAAAGAAAACAGTAAGAATGCTGAAATAGATTTAGACAGAAGCAGGGTACAAAGGGGTAGCCATATCTCTGCAGATATTGAGAATGGTCTCATACACTCCATCCAGATCTACATGCCCTCAGTGGTGTGCTCCCCACTCTGGCCACTCTGCTTGTCCTGTGCTCAGGGTTCTGGGGCTGTTCACAGAGTATGTGCAGCAATATCTATCTTCCATCTGCTGCTGCTATGCTTCTGGTCCACCTCCATTCCCCCACCCAGCCGGAGGGAACAGGTGCGTAACACGTTTGTGTGTACTCTTTGGGTGGGGAGGGGACAGGGCAAAGTAGACAGGATCTGGGTTAAGGAAATTCTGGGATAAATAGGAATGTAAAAGAAAACAGGTTTAAGTCCCTACTTCCACTGTACTCGCTGTGTTGATGGTGAGCCAGACATTTATTCTCTGGGTATCCAGAGTGCAAGAACAATGAAGTTACTGTATGCATGCCCTTTGTAAAATGTAAAACGCTGCCTAGATGGCATTTAGGTATCTTGAGTTACAATTTGAAATACTGTGCCTGTTTCCAGACCCTCTTACTTGAGATGTTTTCCTTTCCTTGTATCTCTCCTCTACCCCCCCCCCCCAAATTCTGTTCTTTGCTTCCTCATCTTGCCTTTGCCTTGTCTTCGTAGTTGGGGAGTTTTTGCTGTTTTGCAGCAGCTGGGCCCATGCTGAGCCCTTTCTGACACAGGGTTTAAGATCACTAGGCTGGCCTCAAATGAGATTCTGCTTCAGTCTTTAGCATTTGTGACTATAGATTTGTTCCACTGTGCCCAGCCGTCTGATTCTCTCCCCGTCCTAGCCAGGTTGTGGTTCAAGCCACTGTTGCTGTTAGGTTTCTGTACTGTTGCCTTCTGCATTACTGATGAACATCCTTTCCAGTAATCTCACGCCTCAATCAGTAGTAGTTAAAAGGTTTGCTAACTCAAGAGTGGGTAAGAAGATCAACATATGTAACAGCTATGCTTTCCACTGATGCTGACCTTGCAGCCTGCCATTAGTGACATCTGTGGAGGCTTCACATTCATTCTGTTGCAGCTGGTGCTTATCACAGCCTTTGCACACTTCTAGAACAAGAACTGGTAAAGGGCACATAACCCTAAAAGCTCTTCCAAGAAGTTGTCCAACATTACTGGACATGGATGCAGGAAGGCTGGGCAAAGGGCATAGCAAATTATTGGAACCAGTTTTCCACTGAGGAGTCATCAAAACGCTGAGAACTGTAGTAACTCTGTGGGCCAACTGAGATGAGTAATCATGTTCATAATGGGTAAGACCAAAGTGTTAGAGCTTCAAGCCATCCCCCTGACCCTCCTCAGACTAACAGGTACTGCCTGAGACTATAGCTGGTTCCTAGCTGTACTGCTAGACACCCTAAGATTTTTGGTGGGTTTGGGAGCTGTGCTTCTGTTCTATCACTACATACGTTCAGCTGGCTGCCTGCTCAACAGGATGCTGCTAAGATATTCTAGGTTTGGGGAGACTTATAGTATGATAGTAAACGTCCCTGGGCTTTCTACTCTGGTTACCTGAAACAAGAGTCTTTACCTCTAAGGGACATAGAAGCAAAAAAATGCAAGTGGCAATGGAACTGCAGAAAATCACCATCCTGTAGAAAACAACCCCGAAATGGCCTTTTCAGGCCTCTATCATTAGCTGCTGTATCATGTACCTGCCTTCTCTGCATTATTCCATTGTCCTCCAGAGAAAAGACAGGACCTGGATTACCAATGCCAAGAGCTTTTCTGCTCTCCTCTAAGAGTCAACTTTTTATTCTAAACTCTTTTCTCTTGCTTTTCCCCAGTAATCCTTTAAAGACATACTCGCACTGTGTCTGCCTGGCCTGAGAACAGAATACCGAACACAAGATACACCTCACTAGCAGTGTTGAGTGCTGGCATCATGTATGCTTGTGTGCTGTTTGCTTGGTGTATAAGATGTTATGGGCAAAGATGTTAAGGGAAGATGCCCAGGACCAGGAGGGTCAGGACAATGTCTAGGACTATGGTTTATTTAAACTTTAGAGCAAGATTAGAACAAGAAAAGCTCCCAATGAACAAGAGCAATTTCTAAAAATAGCCCTTCGTCAGATGATATATGAGATGATGGGGGTAGGGAGAACGACCTGAGAATTCAAATTTGTATGGATTTTAGGGCCTTCACATGAATAGATTTCTAAACCTTTGTTGAAAAGTGGCTCAGGGAACACAGTACTCTTCCAAAGATTACTAATGTGGACTAAGCGACAGTAAATGTCCCCAAAGAATCCTTACTATTTTACTCTACTAGCTTGAGAACTTTTTCCTCAATGAGGTTTCCTCTCTGGCTGAACACTTTGGGTTCTTGAGGATCTTGAGGTTTACAGCAGAGTTCCAGATGAGGTTCAAGAGCTCAATATCCCCAATACCCCCCCAACACACACACACATACACACACACCCCTCCTACTAACCTCTACCCGCAATGCTCAGATTCTGACTATGACCTTTTATTGAGTACCCACAATGTGCTAGGCACTGTGCTAGATACATAATCTCATTTAATTTAATCCTCACAACAACCCTGTGAGGTAGGTATTTGCTCCATTTTACAAATGGAGAAATTGAGGCACAAAAGATTTAAACATCTTACCAACCAAAGTTTGCATAGCCAGTTATATGCTGGAGCTAGAATTTGAACCCAGGTGCCTCCACTGCTTACACTAGACGAATCTTCTTAAAGAGGAATTTCCTAGATCAACACTTAACAGAGTCCTTGGAAGCCATTCTGTAACATGCTACCTTCTCTTTTGCAGAAACCCTCCCTGTTTCTGCTGCCCCAAACAGTGGAGCAAAAGGATACTGTCAAGTGACAAATCTTAAATGGTAGGACTCTGTATAAAGCAACAAAGAGCCCTCAAGTCTCATGAAAATAGCTGGGGAGAAAGGAACCAAAATTACTTCCCACCAACCCTGCCCTCCAGTCACTGCAAAGCACTGGGACAGCAAAGCAGCTGGCCAAAAAACCCCTCCAACTCCTCCAGTGCAAGCCCAGCATCTCTCCTACAGGTGTTCTGCCTTCCACTCTGAATTCCTTACTTTATCAGGGATATCCTTACTAGTTCAGGTTAAGATACAGGTGGGCTGAGATAATCTCCTGAAATCCTAGCTTTTTAAGGTAAAGAACAATTCAAGGCACTCCAAAGAGTTCTCAGGTGAGTCTTCCATGATTGTAAGGAGGTAGGAACAGTCCATGGCCCCATGTATTCTCTAACCAGAGTTTTTGGTTCCACAGCTATGAGCAAGCAGAACTGGAAAAGACACTCACCAAGGATTACTGGGCTTCCTTCTGGGTCAAAATTACCTCATGCTGGGCCTGCATATTCTCTCTCTGGGAATGCTACTGGCACCACTGGTGGTCTTCCACCCAGGACCCCAAGCCCCTCTTCAGGAAATACTGTCATCTTTCTAGTATTGCCAGACAGCACTCTCCCAACCCCTTCTTTCAAAAAACTAGGATGTAGTCTTGGAGGAGGGGAGCTGTCCAACTTACTTCAATACCTCAGAACATAATGGAGTTATCTCACACTTTAGGCTTATATACTGCCTGAACTGAAACCCAAAAGCTCTGGGCAGTTTCTGATTCACTGAAGCTCATTTTAAGTCTTCATCTCAGTCCAAAAACCTAGATCTCAAATTAGCAGCTCAGGAACTACTGCTGACCCGTGCAGACAATGTGGCACCTGCCCTTCCCTGGCCCCTAAACTGGAGGTGGGGGTTGGGAAGACACCAACACGGACTGAAGACTTGGATCTGTCCTTGCAGACAAAAAAAGAAAATAAGCTGTTCAACTCTGGGCACAGGGGTAGATGCCCAGAACCACAGAACAAACCAGGGCACAACAAGAAAAGGAACACAGTAAGGCTACCCCGGGTTTTAATCCCGATCTTAAAAGTCAAAGGAAGTGAGACAACAAAAAACCACCCTCATTCCAGGATGAATGACAGAACACAAAGAATGTGAACACCTGGGAGCAGCTGACCATAGAAAGTCAGGGAGCAGCAGAATTTTTTTTGGCCAACTTTCAAGCAGACAAACAAACCGAGGAAGAATAAGGAAGAGCAGTATAAACCTAGTCTTGGAGCCTTCCCTGTTAACTCCATCCTTGGGATGGTGTTCAAAGTCTGAGTTGGGACAAAAATCACAGAAAAGTTTTGAAAGGAGTCCTCTACCGCATAACTAGCGTACTTTGTCAGAGTAAAATAAGGCTTTTCCTGTGATGTTCCTCTCATTAGGTCTACTTAACCCCAATCTCTTGGACTCTAAAGACTCTTCCCTTATGATGGGAAAGGGCAGGCACTGTTCCATCCCCATCCCCCCAAATCCCCAGTCAAACCAGGCGCTCAAGGAATTACAAAGCTACTTTTAATACTTTGGGGTTTACCCCACAGGAATAAAAAACACTGGGAAGAGGTAACCTCCTCACCCCCAGGAGTGGCCCAGGGGGAGAGAGGCTACCTGAGGGGAAGGAAGCACAAAAGGGACCCGCTGCAGACTCAGGGCAAAGGGAATGCCATCGGTGCTGGGACCTGTGAGCACTACAGGAGGAAACACGAGCATGGTGGGACTGGCTCCAGGCACACAGGCGAAGGGCAAGAGGGTTGGACACGAAGCCACAAAGCTACTTGGGTTCCTCCTTCTTCTCGTTTGCCTTTTTCTGCTTCTGCTGCATGATCTCCGAGTCCCTAGGGGTAGAGATGATGGGGCACTGGGAGGTACCAGAGGGCAAAAAGGACAAGATGCAGGGGGATGAAGGGCACAAAGGATAAGATGGAAGTGGATGGGACAAAGTTCAGCACATGGCTGCTGTATTCCCACCCTAGGAGAACAAGAGGAATCCAGCTGAGGCTCAAAAGGCAATCAGTCTCCATCTGACTGTTGCCCAAAGGGTCAAAAATCTGGCCATGTAGGTCCATCGCTCCCTATTCTGCTGAGTACCACACCCAGCAACACCACTGAGAAAACTGGGAGAAGGGAGGAGAAATGAACTGCAAGAAGGGCCAAAGGTACTGACTGTCATGAGCACAACTGTACTTGAAATGTGAAGCTCCCTGCCCTTGCCCTTAAGGTCACACCCAGGGGCACTCAGAAATCAGACCGAGGGCAGGCATCCGTCCCGGTCCCTTCCAATAAGGATGTGACCTAACAATTTGAAGGGTGGGGAGAAAACAAAACCCTAGAGGAAGCAATGCACTCTGCTCCTCACGACTAGTCCAGTTTTAGGCCCTGAGGTCGTTCTCTTTCCTAGTCCAACCCTTGGTCTAGCCCGGCTCTCTGGTCCGGTCCCGTCCCGTCCCGTCCCTGGGGCTACCTCTGCTTGCGGGCGGCAGCAGAAAGCCCGTCATCTCGGCGCTTCCCCTTAACCGAGTCGCTCTGCTTTTTCATATTCTTCTGGCGGGCGAGCTCGCGCTGGTTACCGCCTAAGGAGAGAAGGTGGAAAGTGAGACGCCGGCCCGCTCTAGACACATGCCGGCTATGCGTCCCAACCCGGTTCGGCACCGCGTCTTCTAGGGAGAGGGGGGGACAGAGCGAGAGTCCACGGGGCAGGTCCGAGTCCCAGGCGGAAGGAGGCCGCCCGGCCGGGAGCCCGCCGGCGGAGTGTCCGAGTTCTGGGGCGGTGTGGGGTCCCGCCAGCCGGTGCTGAGCGTGCCGTGGTTTGTGGAGGGCGGCGGGCTGGAGTCAGAAACTCGCGCCCTAAAACGGGACACAGGGCTCTAACAGCTCCAAGGGTCGGGTGGGCCACGACTAACGGGCGGGAGGGGGCCGGGAGAGGACGGCGGGCTCTGAGCGTGAGGGGAACTACAGAGCACTTCCAGAGGAAGGCCTCGTTGGGGAAGCTACGGAGCGGCCAGGGCTGGAGACTCGGCAGTCGCGATCAACATGGACGGAAAGAAAAGGGCGAAAGGAAGGGGCCTCAGCGCTCACGGGTCATGGCGACGGCAGCGGCTCCGGCTTGCCTCCGTTGCGTCCCCTCGTTCCGTCCGACGTTGCAGGTCCCGCCCCCTTCTGCAACGAAATAAGGCGTCCTTCTTCCCCCACCCCCTCATGCCTGGGCACCGGCTCCCATTGGGCAGGAGGAGTCACGCGGGCCTGCTAGGCGGATCAGGAGCGGAGGTTCGCGGGCGGAGCGGCTGAGCGGGCGGCGTGGGGCGGGGCTTCACGGGCGCGGCAGGAGGCGGGGCCTGGAAAAACTAGGCCGAGTCACGTGGCGGGGGGGTGGAGGGCGCGGCTGGCGATGTGGCGCTCCGGGGTCGGAGCACGTGACCGGACAAGTGCCCTCGCGGCGCGACGTTTGGGGCTGAGGAGCTCGCTCCGAGGAGCGCGGCGGCGGGGCGGGGCTCAGTTCCGCTCTGTGCTGCCCCGCCTTGGGGCTGAACTTGGCCTTCGAGGCGGCGTGGAATCCTTGTTTACGGCTCGCGTGAAAGCTTAAGTGAATCAGCTCCCTCATAGCCCTCTGCCAGCATCACTGTTCCCTCCTAAACCACTCAGCACCGAAACTCGCAGCTACGTCCTGCGTGGCCTGCACATTGCCCCAAAGAAACTTTTTCCAGCTCTGGGGCTTGAACTCAGCGTTCCTGTATGCACATGCTCTGCAACTGAGTTACACTTTCCGCCTCACACACAGGCTGCTGAGATGCAGTGCCCTGAAATCAAAGCCTGAAATGCGGCCTGAGATTTGGGGACACATGTAAGATTATACACAGGCAAGTTAGGCAGAAACAGCATGCAGAGAGGCACTGGGCCCAAGATAGAGCCAGGATGGCCAGGTCTCCCTCAGATAAACTAGAAGCTGATATCCAGACTTAGTAGAAAGTGGGCCGGGAATATCGCTTAGCCACGTAGTGCCTGCCTGGTGAGCTTTCAAGGTCTTGAATTTGATTGTCGGTACCAAAAAAAAAAATAGAAACCAACTAGGTATGATGGCGCATGCCTGTAATACTAGCCCTCAGAGGCTGAGGCAGGAGGGTTGCTACAAGTTCCAGCCCTGGGCTGGGCTGAGACTATATAGTGAGTTCCCTCCCAGGCATCTTGAATTACCTAGTGAGACCCTGACTCAAAAAACCAAAACTCCTAGATAGTGTAAGGTCCGAGTCTACCCCTCACTATTGGGAGCTATTTCTCTCATTAATAAACATTTTGTGTCTACCTCATGTGTCCTAGATTCAATCTTCGACTTTGTGAGACACTGGTGCATATTTCCCTGTCAAAATACCTTGTCCTGGTTTCCTCAGGAGTTTGCTCTCTCCACTTTCCACCTAACCATGCATGATTTCAGAGACAGTGGAATCACCCTAGAAGCCAAAAGTAAACTTATTTTTCAGTTCAATTCATTTTGTATATATAAAACTCCCTACCAAGAAGTTCAAACCTAGCCTGGGGAATTTAGGTACTTAGGAATATCCTGTCTCAAAAGTGGAAACAAGGGACTGGGGATTTAGCTCAGTAGTGTAAGCGCCTGCCTTGCAGTGCGCAGTTGTGGGTTCAATCCCTGATATGGATAAAAACAAAGTTAGAAATAAAAAAAGAATTTTTTGAGACAGGGTCTCAACTGTGTAGTTTGCTGTCCTTGAACTCACAGCCTCTTGCACTAGCTTCCCAAGTGCTGGGATTACAGGCATGCAACACCACACTTGGCTTCAAAATTTTAAAAAAATTTTTAAAAGGCTAGGAGTGCAGCTCAGTGTAAAGACCCTAGGTTCAAACTCAAGTACCGAAAACAAAAAATCCTAGTACACTAACATTCACTGACTATGAGAGAAGTGCTAAAGACCAGAAGTGGTTGACCACACCTGTGATCCAAACACTCAGGAGGCTGAGACAAAAGGATCACTACAGATTAGAGCCTGGGCTGGGCTACATAGTGAGTTCAAGGCCAGCCTGAACTACATAATCAAACCCTGTCTCAAAAAAGAGGGAGGAAGAGTGAGAGACACAGAGAGAGAGAGAGAGAGAGAGAGAGAGAGAGAGAGAGAGAGAGAGAGAGAGGAAGAAGAAGAAGAAGGAGGAGGAGGAGGAGGAGAAGAAGAAGGAGAAGAAGAAAAGAGAGAGAGAATACAGAAAACAGAGAAAGAGAGAGAGAAATGAGGGAATGAGAGAAAAGGATTCAGAAGCCTGTTTGAGCACCATATTGAGATCCTGACTCATAAATAAGTATGTGCACAAGCAAATAAATAAACTGAGTACAGATGTGAGAGTCAGAAAATAAGGTAGAGACAATTAGATGAAGGCTCTAAAGCAGAAAGAGATGAGGCAGAGGGTTTAGGGATCCCAAATATGAAATGGAAAGAAACAACTGGACATCACCAGGTATTACCAGTATAGTATGAATGTGGGTTTAGCTAAATATAGTGCCACACCCCTAAACTCCAACACTCAGGAGGTAAGACAGGAGGAATCAAGGCAAGTTCAAGGTTAATTTGGAATACATAATGAATTCAAAGCCTGACCTACATAGGGAGACCACCTCAGAGAGAGAGAGAGAGAGAGAGAGAGAGAGAGAGAGAGAGAGAGAGAATATGAATCTAGGTGTCCAGCTAGGCACAGGGGCACATGCCTGTAATACCAGATAATCAAGAGGTTGAAGCAGCAGATAGCAAGATCACAAGTTCAGTTCCAGCCTAGGCAATTTAGCAACTTAACAAGACCCTGTTTCTAAAAGGGGGCAGGAGGTCTGGGGATATAGCTCAGTGCAAAGGCCCTGGCTTCAATCCTTGGTACCACAAAAGCAGGAAAGAAAATAAAACAGAGACAGGTGTGGTGGTGCACACATGTAACACCATCTCTTGAAAAGCTGAAGCAGGAGGATTGTTAGGAGTTTGAGGCCAGCCTGGACTACATAGCAAGATCTATATCAAAAAAAGAGAAAAGAAAACAGAGTTTGGCCCATCTGGCTTCCCAAACCTAGGTTCCTAAGGTGCCCTTGCATGTAGAGATTACAGAACCAGCCCAAGGGGGAGAGCCAAACCTGCCAGAACAGTGAGTGAAATGTGTGGAACAAGGAACAAGTTTTCCTTTGCACCTGCTACCCCCTCATGATCTCCAGCAGCTCAGGTGGGTACAAACTACAACCATCTGCCTCCTCTATCCAACCTGCTGCATCAACCCTGGGCCCAAAACCATTGCTACTCCTAATCACACCCAGATTACCTTCCGAGGAGAGCCCGGGAGAGCTGCTCATTCTCAGAAATATTCACTGCACTCCTGCTGTTGTATCAGACACTGGATTTGGGAACAAAATGTGTATCTATATATACATACAACATACAGAGAAGAGAAAATTCTCCTCCTCTCTCTGTCCAGTACATACAGATATGTGTGTTTGTGATGATTGATTTCATGGAAAAAAGATTCTATGCAAGGATGATATTCAAAACCATCATGGTTTAGATAGAGTGTGAATCCCCAAAAGCCTCATGTGGCCTGGTTAGAGCTAGATCACTTTTTTTTTCAAGTGTGAATAATGAGAATCCTTTTATTTACTGCTTGGCCATTACAAAAACCAATTACCACTCCAGCTTTTTTAAAAAAGGAATTTTGGGGGCTGGGGATTTAGATCAGCGGTTCAAGCACTTACCTGACAAGTCTGAGATTGTGAGTTTGATCCCTGATACCTAAATAAATAAATAAAATGAAAAAGGTTTTTTAACTGATTTTCATAAAGAGA